ACCACAACCGAGTCTCTAGAATAATTTTTGTTTTTTTGTTTGTAAACAATATTATATACAATAAAAAGTTTATATAATAGTTATTATGTTAATCAGGAAAACTGATCCATTTTAGCGGATTGTTTTATTATATAAAAACACTTTTAAAACCGTTATATAGTACGATTTTAGCATTTAGTTAGCTTTCACCATCAATGGAAACAAAATTAGAGTTCAATTGTCTTAGTTTAACAATAAAAGTATATAAATATACTTTATAACATAGTTCCAAGGTATAATGTAAATGTATTAATTGTCAGGGCGGTGCACAGTGGTCTGAATAGTAAATTTACACGGTAAAAGCCCCAGTTTTTAATGTTGGTTTTTAATTTTTTTAATTTGTTCTTTACATCATCTGGAATCTTGATATTAAGTTTCAAGTTTCTAGGTGTATTTTTTTAGCATACGTGGATGGCATAGTCTTGAAGGCGGAAAATAAAGATAAACTTAAAGAACAATCAAAAAACTCATAAACGTTGCAAAACGTATAGTTCTAGAAATTAACTCCGAGAAAACTGAATACGTGATAGTTCAAACACATGGTCCAGAAGATCATAGTAATGAGTACTTAGAAATCTAAAACAACAAATTCATAAGAGTACAGGAGTTCCAATACCTAAGCACTTTGATAAAACATTAGAATGAAATTAATATAGAAATAAGAGCAAGAATCCATGGTGGAAATAAGTTCTATTCTGGCTTATCAAAGATGTAATCTGGATTAATTTAAAGAAATCTAAAATCCCAGTAATACCAGACTATTATCAAGCCAGTTTTGATATATGGGTCAAATGATTTATCAGTGTTTGAAAGGAAGGTCTCGAGGAAAATCTATGGGCCGTGCATAAATTAATTTACCGATGAACGAAGAATAAGAAACTCTGGAAGCTATATAAAAGTTCAAGCAATACAGAAAATATTACTAAAAGAAGGCCTATGTGGGAAGATCCCTTTCTTGGCATAAAGGGGGATCGTTGGTAAGTATAGTACAGGAGAATTCACTACATGGAAAATGTCCGCTGGGAAGGCCGGGACTAAGATGGGAAGATAGAGTCAAAGAGGACATAGATAAAGTGAAATCAGGGATGAATTTGAAAAAGTTATCATTGGATAGAGACATTAGAAATAATTTTGTTGGACGACATGGTCTTTGACAACAAGTTATGGAAGAAAGAAAGAAAGAAGTATGTATTTAAATAATCTGCAGCCTTTGACAAAGATATTTCTATATTTTTATTTTTATTACAGCAAAACGTATATTTTTTAGGTTTTTAGTTTTTACTTACTACACATTTATATTTTTCAACTATGCAATTTTAATATTTAAATTATATGTATGGTAGATTATTTATGGAAAAAAAAATTATATTTTTATAGTTTTATTTATTTGTATCAATCATTAGTTTTATCTAGTTTCATCATTTTGTGATTAAACGAACACAAAATATGTATGAAAGGCCAAATATACTATTATACTATTATATAACAAAAGCAAGAAAACAGAATAAGCTGGACATTTCTGGAGCGCAGATGAAAAAGTTATTAAACGAGCTACAGAAAGAAGATTTTTATGGAAAATACCTCTAGAAAAAGATATAAGTACAAAAAAAGAAGTAGAAAAAGATTTATAACGATCCATGAAAAAGTACGAGAATGCGAGTGATAGAGATGGATGGAATACAATATTGACGGCAATAATAGGCCTACATAGCCCGCATAGCTGTTAAGAAGAAGAAGAAGAATCATTTGTTGAAATTAGTTTTGTTTCAAACATAAGTTTAAAAAACCCCAAATATTAGCATTTTTTTTAACTGTCAAGATCGCATCTAAAAATTTGGCAATATTTTTGGATTTATAAATGTGAATTTTTAAGAGAGTTATAAGTTGTTCATAAAATATATTTGTTTTACGCTTGTTTACTATTTCAGCATGCAACAATTATTTTTATTATAATTATTAGAAAATGTGGATTTTAAAATTGACATTAAGTTGTTTTTTCTATGAAGCGCGCAGATTCGGTAAAATTGTTCAACACAGGCCCAGAAAAGTCAGAAAATGTAAACTAAGACTACTAAATGTATATGTACTCATCAACCTAATTTGACTATGAATCAATTACTTCGTAGGATTTACACCGATACTATTCATTGTAAATTATAACGTCATCGTTTATAATGTGAAAATATTATAGTTTTCCGTCCTCTTTGTTTTATACAATTTTAATTTCAGTGACAACGCAATAATCCAAACGAAAACTAATTACTAAAATATTATAATAATAAATATTTTAATAATTTTAATAGTATCTTCTAAAAATGAATAAAAAAGTATACTTTCTCGAATAATAATCTTTATATCTAAAATTATAAAAACAAAAATTTGGTATGCGAAAACTTTTAAAAATTGTTTAAACAGCAATTTATGAAATATAATAAACAAATTGAAATTAATTAATTAATTAATAAATCCGATGTTTAGAGAGCAAATATGTTGTAATAATTATTTAATAGGTGGATATCAGGTGAATAGTATTATATTCACGTAAAAAAAAAAAAAATGGTGAGAGTGAGATAGGGTCATTTAAAATGACCACGAGTAACAATGATGATATTATTTTATAATACTATTTGAGTGTTTAACAAAATATTTCGTTCAGCCAATTTGGGAAATTATATAATTCTTTCTCAGAATACTTAAATTCCAATCAAAGGGGTTGTACAAAAAACATTATTTAGATTTTCTACAAACTTCCTTTGTACAAGGTGATTCTGTTATCATGGCCCCACGATAGTCTCGATAGATTTTAAGTGGATTGTTTTAGGTCATTTTTTTAAAGTAATTTTTGTTTACCAATAAATGCTTGGAATTGTTTGCACTTTATTTCAACAGTGGTTTTAAATTTTATCCCTACTTCTTATATTGTGAATGTAAAATTTACTTTAGATATTCAAATAGTTATCAAATAGCAATCAATTAAAATACAGAATCAAATAGAGAATGTTTGAAAAATAAAATAAAAAATGCAATGTACACTATAACACTAAAGTCTGCTGCCGGATAAACCACTTATGAGTTATGCAGATTGAAATTTAAGCCCAATGAAGTAGACATGGGTAATAATTTTTATATTCTTTTTCAAATGATAACTTTTTTCGACTTTTTATTCTGTTATTATTCATTAACAACTATCTATATCGAATGGTAACTTGTTTAGAAACAATATTTTCTATTCAAATCTTCGTTTTAAAAGGGCAGAGGAAATTTGGAGACAATTCCAAATTGATTGGAAAAACCACAAATCAAATACACTAATATTTATCCATATTAATCACATTATCAATCTCCCCTCCCTGGATCTATTTTTTTCGCAATTTAAAATAACTACCTCGACTCAGGTTTATTGACTTGAGCGAATATCGCACACAGCGTAATGGCGGAAAACCGTAATTATTAAAGTTTACCCGGTTTAAAACGGTAAGTAAAAAAAAAAATACACCCTTGACGGTTACAGTCGGTAGGATATGTTTTGATCAACCCTATGATGAACGATCGTGTTTTGGGGTGATCGTTTCTCAAAACCACAACAGCAGAGTCCCCCGAAAACGATTTACGCACAGGTGATGGTGGAAGCAACCTAACACAAACAATTTTTCGTATTTTTTAAAAAAAGAAGAAAAAAAAGCGCAGTGAGAAAGAGGATGTTGACGAGGCGGCTGTCAATAATATACGAATATACACTCTCACGGAAAACTCTAGAAATCTCTCATTACAGTTATCGGCGTTTTGTCAATATTAACCGGGGTTTTTTCACACCATGTTCGTTTAAAATATAATTACATTCTGAGCTTAGCTAGTCCAGTGGTTTTACTTTAGTGTGTGTGTGTGTGAGTGTGTGTATGTTATTTTATTCTGTATCTCAACAACTTTCAATTTTGCACCTATCGTCGATTTCATGGGTGATTTTTGACAGAAAACTTTGTGTAGTTGATACAATTGGAGAAATTATTTTTTATTATTTCTTGTTTTCATCATAATGGTTGGTAAACCCGAGGAAAAAATGGAAATAAATATTCAAATGAAATATCATATTCTCTAACTATTATGGTTTTCTAAAGTGATACAATATTTAAAATTTGAGCTGTAATACTTATTAAAATATTTAAAATTTTAAACCTATGTTAAAATTCGTTAAAAATACGAAAATTTGTGACATATTTTGTAAGTAATAATTCATTTTTAATTAAAAACTTTTCAAAAACGAGTTTTCCTTCTTTAACAGTGATCCGCCCTTAGTTTGAAGCATGTCCAGTTTTTCTATTTTATTGTGCTGATGTTGTCAATCTATTGTCAACCTAATGGTTTTTGGGCTCATTGCCTGTTATCCATATTATATTGTTAGTTTATTATTGCTATTGTTGTCAGCCCAATGTCACGAAGTCCAATTTATAATATAGTATACTCGAAAACTCCCCCTTCTTATCGAACTATAAATAGTTAAAAACAAAAAAAAAAAAAACAATTGGTTGCAGAACTTAAAATATTTAATGTGATTTATTTTTCCTATAAGTATCTGTATCTAAAACGTACCCAACTTATACCCATAGAGCAGTGGTTTTCAAACTGTGTGCCGCGGCACAGCAGTGTACCGTGGGTATTAAATAACTGTGTTGCTGTATTTTGAAATTTTTTTTCCTTTTATTGTGATAAACCACCAGATACGGTGATCCATTCGTTAAGTATGAAGTCGTATACTTATGTGTAAGCAACGATAAACCGTTTTTAACGAAAAAGAGATTCTGAGCGGAGTTCGGTTGATAGGGTTGTTTTGTTAACAATATATATGTCACACTACAGTAAAAATAATTACATATGCATCATATATTTTTATTAATAATACGTGTTTGATATTGTACCTATTTTCCCGTTTTTCCCATGTTTATTACATTTATTGGGAAAACTTCTGAGAAAATCAAAAAATGATCTCCTTAAAGTACCATCCTAGTGAGATTTATTTCCAGAAAAAGTGTTTTCATTGTAAATTAGAGCAAAATTGCTGGTAGAAAAGTTATTTACGGGAGGAAAAAAAATGCTGTAATATTTTGATGGTGTTGAAAAAATGTAAAATAGAATCTACATAAATATATAGAATAGATAAGTGGGGTACTAATTTATACGATTAAGGAAGACTAGAACGAGATCAATACTTGTCTAGAAAAAATAAAATATGTATATGTTTATTAAAGTATTAAATGTATATGTTAATCATTGTGATAGATAAGAAAAATATAATATTAAAGTCATATGTACGGACTATGATGTATGCAATCATTTTTTAAACTCGATTCATTTTCTTAATAAAATATCAATTTTTTGCTTAGTACATATTTACGATAGATGATTTTCATGATTGATAATTAATTTTTTTCTTGACGTTATATGATATTTTATATATATATATATTAAAATTACATACATAAACAAACGAAATTTATTTGTTTAAAAGCGTACTATTTTTTTCCCATTACCCGCATGGATAGTACAACGTATATAATTTATGTTATCATTTTAAAATTAAAACATTATTTTTAAACAAATCGATGATAATGAACAAATCATTTTATTTATAAAGTTAATTACAATTTGTATTATTGTTATATTATTATTCCGAATGACAAAATTGATGATCACTAAACGTTATAATAATTGTTTTTTTACTACGAATAAATATGAATATTACACCTGTATTTTACTAATCATTTTCTAAACTTTTGTTTTAATAGACGCAATTTATTGAAATTTAGGAATCTACAAGAACTATAATCTTCTCTGGCTGTTTTTTATAAATAGATTAATGATATGCTTTTCAACAATTTCTATGCTACGGTGAAATTTTCGATTAAGTATGTGGATGGCATTTTCACAATTTGTAAATTACATAGAATACAAACAGAATATCGGAGATAAGAGGAAAAACTTTCTTTTAACATCTTAGTCGTTAATACGCTCTTCGATAAAATTCAATCACGTAAACGAAATATAATATTATGGATGATGGATTATTCTTTTTAGTTTAGTGAAAAAATAAAATTAACCAATTAGAAATAAGATTCATTGAAACTGATACTAGGTGTTAATAAAAGGTGCAATAATACAGTATGAAATGTTAAAAGGTCCTAATAATAATATAATAACTATAAACTTTGTGTAATAATGTTGGGCAAATATTTTGTAAATGACCTAAGTATTATTTAAAATGTTAACGTTGTTATTAAAAATATTAAAATGCATCTTCATGTATAAAAAAAAAAAAAAAAATACAATCAGAATATTAAAAAAATAATATTATTAATCATTGTATTTTACATAATATAATATTGTTCGGTATTGTAATTTATTATTAATAAGTAATTAAAAATTATTTTGTTAAGAGGGAGGGTTTTTTTTTTGTTTTTCAAACTTTATATTTGGTCCTGTAGTGGCAATACCTATTTTCCATGGTATGTTAAATTCGTTAAAGGGGTAGAGAGTGTCATTGTTAAACTGGCAATATTTCCGAAGTTTATTACACTATTTTATACCTCGTAAGCGGTGTTATATTCTTTCACTATTTGAAAATCAGCCGATAAAACCGTGTTGTAAAATATGTTTATATAAAAACCATAGATAATAATAAAAAAAAAAAAAAAAACCAAAAGTAATACAAATAATAAAAGTACCAAAAAGTAGTAAAAGTTCGATTTTGATAAAAAAAAAAAAGGTAGCTACCTAAAGTAATAATAAAAATACTGGCATACTCACACGATGGACGGGTCACTGTTGTAGGTGAGAAGTTTGAATGTGGGGGTTTGAAATTGAGAATGTAAGGAATAGAGGGGAATTTCATTTATATTTGTACCCAACGATAAACTATTGCTAATGAAAAAAAAATTCGGAGAGAAGTTTCATTTACACATACACGTACATTTTTTCGTTTTCCTTATGTTCCCAACTAATATGAAAACACTAAAGTATCTCTCTATACTGGTACTCTATCCCCCTCTATCATCATTTGGAATAGGAAAGAGGTGTTTTTGAGGGACAACCTTGTTAGAATGACCTTGACGTTTCGACGGCCCAATAGATTGTCACGAGGTATTGTCTAATCATGGGTGTTTGATCAATGTCTATGACATATACATGTACAAATACGGATGTAGAATGGCACCTATTTCATTATGAAGCTCTTGTTGGAATTCAAATCAAAAAGTGAAATTCGTAAAAATATTTGAGTTAATTTCACCTAGAGGAATATTAAATACAAAATTAGAAACAATATTGACAGCAATAGTTTCTTGTTTCGGAGAAAATTCAAATAATATTACAATTATTATTACGATATAAATGATAAATCGTATTATATCAATTTAATCGTACTTAACTTTAAATTATTCCTTAATTCAAATTTTACATTTATGTAAATACTAGTTTCAGATCATCAAAGCTGGTATAATATTTTACGACACTATATATTTTAGAGCATTACATGGTATTATAACGTTCAGATTTAATAACATACTTGTTGATACAAACTATGTAGTTTGATAACCAGCGTTTTTTTCCTCCATATTACGTATAATGACACGGGATCAAATGCAAATTATATTTTATTTATGATTCATAAAACTTAAATAAATAAATGATAACCATATAAAGTAGATTGATAAATCGAAATAACGATAGTAATTTAGCTCTACAAGCATCACGAAAATCGTCTAGATTACCTATATTATTTTGTAAATACATTTTTGACATAAATAAATTTAATTTGTGTAGAAATTCTATTATGCTATATTCGATAAAATGTGAAAAACTTTCACACAGTTATATATTACGAGCTTATGTAATTATTCCAGTCTCGACCATTAATAAATTTAATAAACACATTTTAAAATCTACTTTAATTTAAAACCTATTTAATGATTAACTGAGTAAAAATGTTTGTACATTCCTCGAAAAAGTCGCCTAATAAATTTTGTTATTTGTGTTTTAACTTCAATTTCAACTTAAACCCTACAATTTGTATTTTACAAGAAAAAACGTTACTGATAGATAGATCGGGCCTTTATAATATATAAGATACGTATGGTTATTCATCTTCCAAATTATCAATTATAATGGACACAATGGCATAGTTCCAAATCGAAAATTATTGTCTGTTACGGCTAGAACATTAACATTTAATTATAATATTACCGATCAGATTCCCGTAAAATCGCATACACAAACAATATAATCGTAACACACGCGATGAGTTGGCTCGCGTATTCATATACTTTGTATCAAATTATTACTCCGTAAACTACCGATGCGTGTACGATCCATTTCATTTCCGATAAATAGTCTGATGATTCGGTGAAGTATTCATTAATATGAAATATAAGCGCATAAAATATGTATTTACGAAAAATTCAGTAAACATTACTGAATTCGAACAGACGATCTTGAAATTTATAGAATTATATCGAATAACGTGTTTATTTCTAAAACTATTATTATTGTTTTTCACTGATTGTAATGTATTTAAGAACATTGCATTAGCATTTATCACAAGGTGCATAATAACTACCTCTTACTTATTAATAATGCTACTAAAGTAGCAGTTTTCTTTATTATGTGTGTCTGTTAACAATTTTTCTACAAAAAATCTACTACAAGCAAGATTTGTGTGGAAAATAAAATCTATTGGTACTTTGTAGAGAAAATTTTTTGATTTTCCTTGTAGTTTTCAACATATTAAGGAAGAGTATGTTGGTAATGTAAACGATAATGGTCTGTTATATTCGGTTTTGTTTTGTTTGGTTTTTTTGTATTTCTATTAGAAGCAACCGTAAAGACCTGCAATTTTTACAGACACGTATTACGGAATTTTCTATACGAGGTAATATTTAAAAAATATTCTGGTAATTTCTTGACAAATTATAACTCTTAAAAATTTTTTAGTGTTTAGTTTTATGCGGATATTATTTTTATGGCTTCTCAAAAACGGTCAGAAATTTAATATAAGGTTCACACATTTTTCTTATGCCAATAAAAAAATATCAATAATACCGTAGTACTGATTATTAATTTTTTTTTTGAGACAATATATTTTTCACGGATAAAATGCTCAAAACAAAATTAATATGACTAAGACGATAAAACTTCTGTTATTTGACAAACTAATATTATGTTATGCTTATGGCATTTGCATCTCCTGCAGGCATTTGTTATTCGTCTATTAAATATCGTATTCGGCCGTTCGTTGACAACTTACAATGTTTCGAATCAGCGGTGACAAAAACGATATACCTACCTACCTATATTTTCCATGACATGCATAATATATAGCAGCAGTCACTGGTCGTAAAGGTATTAGGCGATTTATTTTTGAACCGTATTCGTAATATATATGTATATATGACGCACACGAACCCAAGGTACACGAATTTTGTATACCATAATATCTATTTTCGCGCATGACGCAATCGACCAATTTGCCAATACAGACGAGAAAATGGGCGCACGCGTACGTGCTTGAGAACAGAAGATTCTTTTGAGATTTTTTTTTTTTTAATTTGTGTACGATGTCTATGATTAAACGTGAAATACGCTCATTAATGTAAACTATATGTATAAAAAACAAAATATATATTATGCAACGTCGTGTATACATTCAGACATTTAGCGTCTGTCACCCCAATAATTCTTAATAAACATCAAAAATAATCTTTCAGATTTCATATCAGACATCACAATAACAAATGTACCGTATATTACGACTATTCTGTTTATAAATCTCGAATGTTAAATTTAAAAGTATATTAATACACTCAGTGCGAATTATTATTTTTGAATATATGAGCAATTAACGCAATTATTCGTCTATTAGACATATCCACATTGTATGTATTTTCATTTTGAATAAATGAAAATTAAAAAAAAAAAAAAGTATACCCTACCAATATTATAAATGCGAAAGTTTGTTTGGACGGATGGATGCATATCTGCTACCATCACTTCTCTCCCAATAACTACTGAACGGACTAAGCTGAAACTTCGCATAAATATATATCTAGATCAATAGTCCAAAGCTACTCTTTTCTTCCACATTCAACCCTCAAAAGAGGCTGACTTTTAGGAATGAAAATCGAATTTTTTAAAAAAGAAATAATAATTTATGGGTTTAATTAAATTGAATTGAATTGGTAGTACAGATGAACTAGAAAAAAAGTTATTTAATATGATTGTCCGAGGGTTGAATAAGGGCCATATAATAGTATAATGAAAATTTGTCTATAATTTCTTTTGGCACTGGCAACAACGGACGGGACAGCTAGTTATTTCATAATTATAATATTAACTCGTAAACCGTATTTTAATAGTATACACTTAAAGTTTTTACTCGTATTTTTAAAACGCACGTACGTATAGGTTCGATTTTAGAAAAATCGTAGTGTTTTATCACTATAACAAATAAAATATCAAATATTGTAAAAGGAGTTGTTGACTTTTCCACTAATTTACTGATCGATAGCCATCTAAAGGAAAGAGGTACGACTGTTTTCACGGACGAATATAATATTTCAGATCAAAAACCCGGAAAACTATAAACATCAAATGTGATGGATTTTAATATTGAAAATCTAGTACGATTCTTTGTGTATTAGAATGAATGGAAATTATTTAAAACAAATAGAATTATCTATATTATAAAAAAAGGCAAAATACTAAAATATTTTTTTGGTTTTTTACGACTTCCAGTAAATTATTTGAATTTATTTATATTTTTACCATATCCTATTAAAGAACCTATAGAATCATAATAATCCGTTTTAAAAATTAAAATCCGTAAAATACAATTCCTACAGTTTTATCTGGATTTTAGGTCTAAATCGACCTAAATATACACCGTCACCGTTAATCCCCTTAACAGTTAATTTGATTTTCCATTTAATACTATTAATAAATGCATAAAGATATATATTTAATTATATTATAGTCAAGCATTTTTTAGTCACTTTTATAATACACTTGGAATAATATCTAAAAAGAGTTTTCAATTTCAATAGTCCGTGATGTTTTAAATATTATGCGTAATAATATCAAATTGCGTTATTATTATCATTATACTGAACAAAATTATAATTGGACTTGGGGTCACGTCAACTATAAAAAAAATAATAATAATAATACTAATGAAGGCGAACACAGAGACATTGATATTCCAAACAATAATCGCATCGTGTATGTAATTATAGTTATGGTATACCGACATGACATCCGTTTGATAAAAAAAAAAAAATTAAAACAAATGTAGATATTATAATAATAAAATAAAGTTTTCAGTTTATTTATGCTTATGTATACAAACATGAAACATAATTTTGAAATTTAGAAATACAAGAGTTGATATGCATATTTTTAAGGATTTGTCATCGCGATCAGTTATTATTTTTAATTTGGTACAAACCGTTATACTTAATACTAATTATACAGTTATTATACGCTGCTTTTCAGTTTCAAAATGATATTAAACTAGTTTTTGTTTTCGTCTATCGCATTATATATTATTAAAATTATATTACGATTAGTATTCAAGTAAAAACTCGATAAATGAATATTGCAGTTTTAATGGAGATTATTTCATCGTTTAACTTAAAATTTTAATATTATATAACATACGAATTCATACTGTGATTATCTTGACTAGATTCTAGTCCACGTGGTGATAATTGGTATCGCGATAGTAGCGAAATTTACTACCGTGATAGTAACAATCGCCTAATCATGTAGAACTACCTTCACGTGAACTGTATGGTGATAGTAAATTAATAACGATCAAATTATGACTATCATGCACGCGTATTAATCGATAGCTACTATCTTTGAGAGTTTTATTGACTGTCATTGTGTGGGTAGTGGGTACACATATGAACATATTTTGGTTTACAGTCACGACGGCACTTCCACAAACATTTCCATCTAAATTCATAATCCTACCGAAATTCATTCTGTACTATATTACTATAACAACAGTTGTATTGTATTACCGTCGCGTGGACACTGTCGTCTCTACTGTACTGTCACAACAATAACTATCATGGTAGTAGCTATCATCACATGGAGCAGACTTTAGAATCACTAAGTATCTTATACTCGGATGTAACGATTCGGCGTTGCTTTAAAATTGAATGTACCTATAATATAATAATACGACTACAATGTGAAGGATTTTGAAACGCGAATTACTTCATATTTGTCAATAATATTAATGTTGTAAATTAGGTAGTGCCCTACTTATATTATGGGTATTGTTTGAAGGCTTGAACGGCTATATTATTATATAACTCAACAATAGCTATAATAAAGACAAAATACATCATGTTATTATTGTTCTTGTACATTACATTCTTTACGAGAACATTGCAAATTGCCGCGGTCTTAACGCCGACTTGGCTACTCGTAAATTATTATTAGTTAGTTATGATTAAATATTAATGCGACTTGTGTAGATCGAACCGGGAATCATTTTTGAGATCGCACATTTATCTAAATGATATAGAATGGCAACAATGGTGTATCCGCTATATCATACGATACTATTTTCTGTACAATATTAAATTTAATATCGAATACTGCGGATAATAAATACGAATTCAATACAAATGGCTTTTGGAATTTAATAACTGGTTAGCTTACCCTTAATTATTTTATCATTATAAATATATATTTGTTTAATAGTAATAAATAACTTGTATACCAAAAGATATAAATCACTCCCAGAACCTAATTACGTCACTGCTTGGTACAGTTTGGTCTTTTTTGTCACGAAAAAACAGCTAGTCGATACAAAAAAAAAAAAAATGATATTTCATTTTTTTCTAACTTGCTATAAGTAGTAAGCTATATATTAACTATATCAGGGCTGATATCTCAATGCACTTAACACTATTTTTCTGAGCTTACTGTGCGATACTCGTTTAATGCATATATTTTTTTTTTTTTTTTATGAGAATAAGATACTTTATTTAGCATTTTTCTTAACAATAATTGTTGATTTTAAAGTTTGTATTAATTTTTTTTAATTTCATTTACAGGTACGTTATTTTTAAATTGTAATAACATAACATGTCAGGACGTCATACACCTAACACTGATAATTGCTTGACTTAAAATAATATTATTATAGAATAAATTACTCACGAAAAATAATGTTGTACCTGCATATTTCCTTTTATATTTATTAGGCATACAAATATAAGTATATAAACTTAAAATATGTATTTATGTTTTTTTCGAGTTTACCTATATATATAAAAAAAAAAAAAAAATCTATATTATTAATTTGAATGTGTTACACACTTTACCAACAAGAATAAAATTAAAAATTGAATTGTGTAGATTATACATCTAAGTAATTATTTTCTCCACACTGTTGAGAAATTGAAATTATATTTTAACGACGACAAAGCTGCAGGTATAATTAGACGATATTTGTTGCGCGTCATGGTAAACATTGTTACTACAAATGCCGTATTTTATAAAATGGCTTTTATTGATGTCTTTAATATATCAACATTTTTATTTTCGCGGTAAAAAGTGCGCAATTTTAAAAAATGATAGGACGAGAATGAAGTATTTGTTGGAAGTTTTTTTTCTTTTTAAGTTAAATTAATTATTTTGTTCTCTTGGGTTGATGTAAAACCACACATAAAAAATGGAAATAAACTTTAAATAATTACAATCGCGAGTCTTGGCTGTTGGCCGTTCACGGCAAGTGAAAGTTGAGGTAAAAAAAAAAAAAATGAACGATTTTTTTTTTTTTTAAGAATATCGTCTACGTGCGTAGAATCTCGATACGAAAGAATCCGCGTTTACCCCGCACATATGTTTCAAATCTATTTTTGACTGTCCCCTTCAAAACGACATCGCGCGATTATTATTAATGGCGTGGCACGCGAGACCGCCATCCACTCTAATTTATCACTTAACACAAAAACACTCCATTATAGTACATTATCTGTCTGAATCGTTTTATCGTTACTCTATAATTTTTCAACGCAACACAAATAAATACCATATTAATAATACCCACATAATAACAGAAAAAATAGATTTGATGATACTAACTCTGAAAAAAATTTCGCAATATTATTGGTCCGTGACGGCGAAATGGTAGTTCTGTGAGTCTGAAGAATTGTAGGGTTTTTTTAAATAGGTGGGTGAGTAGATGTTTGTAAGTTAATAGATAAGCTAGGTGTGCGATAAGTAATTAGGTACATAGGAAGTAGATAAATACTTGAAATAGAGTCAGTTAGTTTAAGCGTAACTGTTTTTGCAAAAAACAATTTATTTTAAATAAAAACCATATAATATTAATGTTTTTTATCAACAATTGTATGGGTAGATCAAATAATTTAGTCAGACTCACTCATGAAAGACATAAGAACTTCGAAATTAGATAAATATTAGAGATGTATTTTCTTAAACATTCGGACTCTTTTTTCCAATGAAACTTAAAGGGTTTATATTACCGGTTTTCCAAACTTTCTCCTATTTCATAAGATTAAAAATAAATAAATATTTTTTACCTCTTAATGACCACATTAATAGTAAAGGTTGTTCACTAATATATGTCCGATGGTCATTCAAGGGGAAAGAGTACGACCGGTATTGCGGACGAATATGACGTTTTAGACCAATGAGCTGGAGGAAAATTTACAAACTATCGCTTGTTTAATTTTAATTTTTAAAATATATTTGAAATTTAAATTCTTTGATTTCTTGTCAATGTTTTTTAAGAAACATTAAATTCCTTTTTTTTTTTTATCACAGTATATATATATTTTTTTTCTGAAAACCATCAAAATGAAGTAATTGAAATCAAATTACATTTTAAACAAGAAATAATAAGTATTATTACTCCGCCTTATTGGCTTTAATGAATGAACAATCACTTTTAACCATTTTAATACTATCGTTGGTTCAAACAATTGTTTTTCACGCGTGTCTTGTTTAAATGTCTCTGTAAAATATTATATAATAGCACGATCGGAGTTTAATAGGGAAGTAGTTGTTTCAATAAAATCCGTTTGGAATTTTTAATATACAATAGCTTTAGCAAGTACCTATCACAATTTTTTTTATTTTTCGTAAAGAATTTTCATAATAAATATATCTAGTATCTTGGTAATATTATATAGATACCTAATTTAAAATTGTTTCAAGAAAAATGCGCCGATTAAATCTAAACACAACAATACGTTATAATATCACAAACATTCAGTATAGATTCCTCAACTCATAGAAAAAAAAAATTTAAAACGAGTGTATAAAAAAAAATGTCAAATATTTTTTTTATTAAATTTTGTGAAAAAAAACAGACACGAACAGGACAATGTGACACTTGTTGCGAGATGAAAAATATCGTTTAAATATATGTCAAAATATATACTATGGTAATTCATATTTAAAAATCGTTTTATCGTATAATATTAACGATGTCTACACAATATTGTCGGGTGAAACAAATCTATTTGAACTTACAGTTATATAAATAATAATGACCAGCATTGAAAAAAACTTGAAACGATAGCATATTTTATCAATGAAAAATTTCTGCTGAAAAAGTCCATTATATAACTCAAAATACAATATCTACGCTAGTATAAGAACTAGTAAGATTTAAAATGTTTATAATACTAAATAAATACCAAAAAAAAAAAGAAATAATAATACCTCTAGTCAAACTCAGTCCAATTATACTCGAAAAACATTAAGCAATTAATAAAGTAACGTACTTAATATTTTAGTTTTTAATAAAGATTAAGCCGAATCCGAAAACCGAAGAGATTTCGTGCTAAATGTATTTTATTCACACGGTACTAGAATATTTGAATAACAAATAGTTTTATTAAAACGGGGTATTAACAAAATCGGGCTAAAAGAGATAACAGCGTTAAGCGTAGTCGTTTCCACGTTAATATAGAACAAAGAGATTTGTTTTAGTGGCGGCGGCGTTATTGCCGGTTTTTATTTAAATGAATCAAATTGTTGTGGATACCACCGCATGAGAGCGCGACGGGATTTCAACTGGCAAATTAAGTCCAATATCGTTTAATTATGCGTTTTTCTCCCTCATTAACGTCCAAACCTCCTCCGATCTCAATTTCCTTATTTGATCAATTAAACGTATTTGGCAAGTAACTATAAAAAGCGCGAACACGAGCTCGATTTGCATGTTAAGAATTTGGATTATAGAAAATGTCAAAAATAGCTCGTTTAAAATAAACATAAGTGTAAATAAAAAACTACACTCATCCTCGACCTTTTATTGTTCACAACCATTCAAAAACAGCTAAAAGATGGTTATTGTGATTAATTTCGCTTCGATTTTTTTTTTATTCCATAAATATACGTGTATAGTATCATAAAAAACTGTGTTGGTGAATCTTTTTATTTTGGTTTATATATATATATATATATAATTGTATGTAGACATTGCTCAAGAATTGGTTGGTAAGAATTTCTGGGATAATAGATTTAGCGTTTTATACAAATTATACACACGTATTACGGGGTTGTGTTTATTTCATTTAATTATTGTTATTATTATTATTATTATTTTTTTTTTTTTGATAGATATAGGTATATAGGTACTTCAAAGAATGATAAATGAACTAGCGCGCATCGTCGTTTCTTAAAATCAATCATTTTTTTTTTTTTTTTTGCGTGTCTGAATATTTTCCATAACTCAAAAGTGACAAATTTTCGTTGGCCTGTACCAATATATAACATTATACATTCTAAATACAATCGTTTATTTTCATTCTGGGAAAATGTCGGTGCAGAATCTTACCGATTAAAGAAATATCATTTTTCCAGAAAATATGGTACACCTGATTTCGGGTAGAACAATTATTCACAGGTGCATAAAAAAAAAAAAATAAAATACACATTATATAGTTAGTAAAAAGAATACATTCCTCGCTGTTCTTAGAATCTTAAATTTGAATATTATGTACTTAAACCATATATTACACAGCAAGTAAAACTGCTTAGTTCTAGTATTAAACTATAATCATCAAATATTCGAACATCATAATAATATTATGACACTGGACCGTTTAGCCGTTTGTCCATACGAATTCAACAAGCAGTATGGGCTACCTCAGTGCTTCTAAAACTGGTAGCCGCGGCCTCCTGTTATTCAATAATAATAAAATTATTATTATATCGGGATATAAAAAATAATTGGGAAAACCCGAAAAAAAAAACTTAAATAGAAAACGGCAAATATTTACGGTACGTCACGGCGTTACCGATTTCATTATTTTTAATTTCTGGAACATATGGTTTTTATCCGATACATTGTTTCAATCGAAAAATGACAAGAAATCGAATTTTGTCCCTTTTAATATGTAGCCATTGACAAAGAAAGTCATTTTTTGATAGCCAAAGTAGTTTTCATAATAATTAGGAAAAATTAAAAAAATTAAAATTGTCAAAGCATTGGCCTCAATTTTGAGCTTTTTAAATACAATTTAATTTTGTTAATTTTGGGGTTTTTCTTATTATCTCGAATATAAATGAGAATTTCAAAAAAAATGACATATTTAAAGTAATATCCTGAGAAAATTTTTTTTCAGAAAAAATGCTATACTTGATAATCGAAGTATGCTTTCTGATAGAAAAAGTGTTCACATAAAAAAAATAAAAAAATAAATACCATTGTAAAACCAATACATTCCTCGTTTCGCTTAGAATCTAAAATTGTAAAAAATTGTTACATTTAATACAAATGTTTGAAAATTTAACAGATGGTTTATTATAGGTCATACTTATAATAGTAAATATAAATAAAGCTGAGTGTAATGTAATCTACTTTTTTTCTATAAGAGTTTTAATATCAAATGATGACGAAAATCGTAAATATTATGGTTTCCTAAAACATTTAAACTGAATTTCACTCCGAATCGTTCTTAGTTAGCAATAGTTGCTTAGAGATATAAATTATATAACCTTATGTATTCTACTTTATCAACTTCTCACCTATAACAGTGGCACACCCGTTCCCATTATCAGGTCTTTTTAGTTTTGTATCCTTGTAAAAAGACCGTGACATACTGTTTCGAAGAATTCTCTAATTAATTTGATTACATAATTAGATTATTATGTTAAAATCATACATAATATGTGCTCAAAGTAAAATCGATATAAATACCTACCAAACTCGCACTTGTTTAAAAACGCATTTGTTCATGTCTGTCGAAAAACTCGGATTGTTTTTATTTATTTTTACGTGATACTTTTCTCTCTGTGTTACATCATTGTAATTAATTTTCACGGACCATTAGTTCAACTTCCTGTGCTTCAGTATGGGTATAGTGGTATACATAACCATTATGTTTTACTCTTTCGAAAATGGTGCGGTATGGTCATACGATTTTTGATCAATCTTCAAAACAATTATTGCACATATAGGACACGCGTGCAATGATGCAATGAACTTTAAATTAATGATACAAAATCGTTCACGTTTGATATGCAAAAACTGAAAGGCTATCATAGTTCATCCGGGAAACTGTCAACTTTTATTTCGTTAAAATGCATTACCAATCCATTACACTGCGTATATATAAAAATATACTATAGGATATATTTTAGTATTGTTATTAAAATATTGAATAAACTATATATAAAAAAATATATATTAATATTACCGAGATAGTTAAGATTCAAAATGATTCGAAAGAGAAAACACCCGGATGCAACAGTGCACTGGAATTTGAATTTTTTCCAGCCGATTTGTTACCGTTTAAATATTTTATGTTATATTTTTATAATTGATTTAAATTAGTTTTGGTTGTCAAATTTTTATTAAATTTTAGTCTGTTAAGAGAATTTTAATGAACTTTCTGTGAAAACATGAAATTTGAACATAAAAATGGTTGGGAAATGAGCTAAAAGTTGAGACTCTCAAAAGACACGTGCTTATTACTTAAACCATGCATATCTATGCATATACAAAACGTTATTCTCCTGGCTTCATTCGGATAGTCTGTAAAGGCTATATACATCTAATAAAAGACCTTTATCCCGTCAACATGGTGAAATTCACATTGAGATTCAGCTAACATATTTTTATCAATTTAATCCGCCTCTAAAACAATTCTAAATCCCTTACTTTGAGCTCATTTGATTCAGAAGGATCTTGCTAAAAGTGTCCAAAAGTAGTGTGCAAAAATACGAAAAATACTATCAATAAAATATTAATGAAGTGCATGAGTGCGAATATTGTTGCCGGTGACACGCACCGACTTCGGGCTGCTAGCCAAAAGTCTACCGTGTATATCAGCACCGACGAATTATTTACAATACCTAGTTTTTTGCCGCTATCAATCAGCCAATGACTGCCATTGACTCAATCATCAATCAGCCAGCTCTGTAGCAGTTGCCTTGGGTGATGGCGGTTTCCATTTAGTTTTGGTTGTGTTTGATACACGGCGGTCTGATAAGGGAACGTTTTGTGTTATTGAGTTTACAGAACTCGGTTAGGTTACAGATATTATAAAAATTATAAAAACACAAAATATATTATTTTTTCGTCAGTAAGATCAAAATATCAACTTTTATCTACTATGACAAAACACTCTAAATATTCTTACGAAAATAAAATTAATAATATTATTACCTAATTAATAATTAATAATCCATACTCGTTTTAGACCCTGAGCGTAGCTTACCTTTTTTTATTGTATTTCAGATCTAGTCGGTTTTTAAATAAATCGTTTTTTTGATTTTCATCATAGTTTTCATAATAATTTGGAAAACACAAAAAAAATTTGGAAATGCGGGAAAGTTCACGGCCTTAATACAGTAAATTCCGGTAAATATTTAATAATGTTCTTGTAGTAAATTTTATTTTTGTATTCTTTTTTGTTATTCCGTTTAAAATATTCGAATAGAGCTAAAATTTTAAACAAATTCTTAAATTTGTCTTTTCTAGTTGTGGTAAAATTTTCAAATTATTTCGCTAATTTTAGAGCTAATCATAGGATTTTATACTGTTTGCAAGTTTTTTATGCCTTATTTTGCCTTGCCGAACAGAAATGCTTGATAATTGAATAGAAAGTACATCATAAGTTATATTTAATATTTAAAAAAAAAAATTATTGTGATATAGTAACTTTTATTTTTCTAATGGTTTTGAGATTAAAGATTTATGAAAATCAAAATTCGTAAAAAGCATACGTAAATAAACTTCGTTCAGAATCGTTTTACGTTAGTAATAATTTATCGTTGCTTACAAATATAAATTTAAAATCATATTTATCCTACTTTCTTACTTGCCACCTACAACAATGGCATAGCTATCATCAGCAGTGTCAGCTTTTTTTTTTTCTTAATACAGTTATAGTTTGTATGGTAAAGTAAATATGGTAAAGTTTAGTGATATTTATTATATAGAAAAGTCATTGCTTCTATGGACCGATAGACAGACTTGTAACATGTTTGAAGTATAAATATATATAAACAAATATTCGAATATTATTTTAGTAATCGAATAGGTACGTATTTTAAATACCTAATTTCATGAAAGTTACTCAGTATTAAATTTTAAACATTTTTCAAAAATAATTTTACATTTGTAATCAAACAATAACTCTGAAGACTTTTATAATTTTAAAAATTGTGTGTTGATAGTTAAACGGATTAAGTACTTTAAACTTGTACTAGTGTTATACAATAACCGAAAATTAATGACACTAAAATGCAAGATATATACTGTAAAAACAAAAATAATAGTTATTTAGAAGTATTTATAAACACTATTCAAAAGTATCTGTACTGGTGCTCAAATATTTTGTTTTGTGAAGTATTCAAATACTTATTCTAAATAAGTAGCTATTTCCGTACACACCATTTGTTTTAAAATTATCTTTTATAAGCCTTCAAAAAACCTAAATACGCCCCCTCCCCTTACTATTATCTCGGAGTCACTTGTATTCGAGTAATATTATTACTTGTCTAGTTATTTATTTTATATAGGGTGTCCAGGATGTAGCCCCGAATTCTAAGTTAGTGGTTTTATCATTTTCATCGTCTGTTTTTAATTAGATTTCTTGTGTAATATTATTTGTTCATAAAGTATTGTTTAATTGTGATTAATTATTTTATGGACTATTATCTCTTTGGGTGGAACCTATTAATGATTTATCACTTAAATCCTGTGACATTACGCTACGCAATTTCTATATGTGCTGATTTTCAAAGTCGAAAATGCAAATATGCAAACCATGAACTATTTCGGCATTGAAGGCAGAAATCCAATCACTATTATCCGTGAAATACAGCAGGAAATTTTTGAACGATAATCGATTACTTCATCAAACGCGATTACTTAGTATACTAAGTGTTATTCTTCATACTTAAATCTGAAATGTTACTGAATAAAAAAAAAGTTAAATTTTGAATGTTTTTATTGTATTTTTTAATTCACAACAATATCATGGATACCATATACTATCGTCTTAGACTTCTTTTTACGCCTCTCATTTAGCCGCCATCACTACAAGAGTGGTTGATCCGCTGGCATCGCTACGCTTTATTATTAGGATCGGTACAAAGCCAAATCCAATAAAGCCAATAAATTCAATATCCATTTACCCATTTTTGAAGGTACTTACTTATTGCCTTATATTTAGTATTCGGTAAACCGGAAACGAAGCGTCGGTACCCCGTCGGATTGATTTTATTTCTTTTTTGGAAAGGCCCGACTGCGCGTTGATTGCGGTAAGAAACGATCGGTCTTCTACATAATATTATGAACATCACGTATATAGAACACCATCAGGTGTTTTTTCTGCATGTAAACGTATACAATAACTAGATAATTTTAGAAAATGGGAAAGATTAAAATTTTAACTATTCCCACCGTATAATATAGTAAAAATGTTTTTTTTATATGTGTTAACTAGCTAGACGATCTATGCGTCGCAAGAACGCAATTTAAATGCAAATTTTATTATATTGTTTTTATAAACATATATGACGTAGTATATGTATGATAATGCAAATTATTACTATTTGAAATGTTGATGATAAGTGTACAACATATCAAGTGCTTATAAACTATAAATCTTTGAACACGAGATTCGCCAAGTAAACAAAATAATATTATGTTTGAACGATACACGCAGATATTAACTAAGTATGTACACACGTCTGTTAGATCGTATACAAAATAAAAACAGTATCCTATAATAAAGTTAAATATGATATTTTTTAAAAATATATATATTACATAATTATACCTATAAACTGTGCATAAAAAAAACGGTCTCTCTAAAAATATTTACAATATGATTATATTATAATATATAATACTGGTCGACTTAGTCTAAGAATGTTATTACTGAGGTAAAAACAGAATTTTCTCTACGTTATCCTTAATTTTCAAAAACTAAACAGAAAAAAAATACATACATTTTAAACTTGGTGAACAATCCTAATGGTCTTCTATAATAAGGTCAAGTTTTATGTTTAAAATGCATTTGATTTTTTTATTATTTTACGTTTTTTTAAATCTCGGGCATAAGTTGATGGCAATATTCGATTCCATATTATGAAATTAATTAGATATTTTTATCTTTCAACTTTAAATAATCTAAAATGATCGTCTAGAAGATGATTTTTTACTGTTTAGTTTTAATTATTCGGATAAAAATGACGTGCTGTTATTGGAAGCTTAGTAGTAGCTTAATAGAATACTTATTAAAAAATACGAAATTACCTATAATATTGATACGTTTTTATAGAAAAAAGGAATGTGAACTTGAAATTTATTTGATTATCTTATAAGATGTTAAGTAATATTTTGATTCGTAATATTATTGTTAATAATAACCGGCGTCACACGTGAAATTCACCTCTGAGAATTTTACCTTTGGGTGTTAAATTTCGTAAGGTAAAATCAATTATTCACAACTAATTGTAATAGTTACTATACTCTATGCATTTCATTAGTTTAAATAACATTTCTCATTAATTTCCATGTATCATGTATTTACAAAAGATGTATGTGTCGAGAAGTAAACTAAAATATATCATGTAATAGAGACTGAGAGATAAGATAAATTAAAAGTTATCGTTTTAATAGCTAAAAATTTAAATGGCTTATAAGGTTTAAAAAAACAATAATTAATGGACAAATAATATAAAATTAATACCTTTTATAATAATTGATAAATTTAATTAAGTTTAAAAAATATCTACTATTTCCATTCGACATTTTCAGCGATATAACATTTTATTTTCTACCAGTATAAAAATAATGTAGACATATCGTTTTTAAAAAGAGAATTTTACACATAAATTAAATTAACTATTTAATTGATACAGATATCATTTTCGTTTTTAACAGAACACGTTGAACAATATACAAGTATATATTTCTATATACTCAAGTATATACTTATATATACTCAAGTATATACTTATATATACCTATATATATACTTTCAAGTATATATTATTACATTTCTGTTAGAAAACTTCGTCTGTGTTTTCATAAAATAATAAAATTGTGAAATTGTACGTCTTCCTACGTTTTTTCCCATTTAAGTGCTTTTATTTAAAAAAATGTTATTGAAAATCAAAAAAAATGATCTATTTAAAATACCATCTAGACAACTTGAGCTTTTAGAAAAGTTACAATTCGTAAATATCGGAGGAAGTTTACTAGGAAAAAACGAATCCACAGATTAGAAGAAAACAAATAAATAAATAAACAGCATTGTCAAACCAATAGCTCCCTCGCTACGCTCGGAATCTAAAAACCTACTATTTATTGACACCCACTTACTTTACGCAAGAAATCTAACGATATGAGAACCATCAATAAGTTTCTTTGATGATTTATTACATACCTACATTTCAACACTTATTTAATGTCCGTGATTACAGAGATACGTTTCCTATAGATAAATATAATTTACTATATAATCACGGTATTTAATATTATTTAGTAATACAAATTTACAAAATTTCAAGAGAATTAAAATAATTCGTGTAATTATTACTATCGTAAGAATACTAATGTTTGTATAAATGTTTGAAGACATCATATAAAGACAGTACCATAACCAGGTATTTGGAAAATTCTTTTTAAAATTGAATTCATTTGTATTTATATTCACATTCCTGAGCAGGAAAAGTAACAGCAATATTTTAAAAATAAATTTGTTTGAAAATATTATAAGGTAAATAATAATAATAATAAAACAAGTCTACACATCTACAGATTGTATAAGTACATTTCACTATAAATTTGTTTTTATCAATTTATATCAATATTTTGGTATAAAATGATGAATTCGTATGTACCATTCTTTAAAAATAAAAGTTATCACATTAAGAATGCAATCATCTAAACAGGAATTAAGTTCAAAAAATGCAATATTATTTCCACGGAAACAGTGTTACTGTTTCCACATAATGGAAACAAAAATTCAGTTGGTAAAATAATGTATGAAAACGTATGAAAACAGATTTACATTGGTATAGTTAGCAGATTAAAAAAGAAAACTTAAACGTATAGCTTCTAGGGTGTATGCTGACTTACATAAACTCTAAATATGCTTAATGAGCATTTAAAAGTCTCATCTTGCAGTAAAAAATTATATACCGTGTACTTATTCTTCACAATGTATGGAAGTTACTATGTTACTACCTATTTTAGCAAAGAAGAACAACGCAATTTTTCGTATTTTTCCGTTCAATTCGTTCGATAAATCGAAAGGATACAACAATAATACAACAAGAAGAATTTCAAATCCGAAAAAATCGATATTTTAATTTTATTTTTTTGGACCATAACAGCTACAATTAGACTGTATATACTTGAGAATATATCCAAATAATAATAATGAGTTTTAAAGTTATAGATTGTTGGACAATCTATAAATCGATGATATTAGAAAATAAAGATATTTTGCAAGCTTCCTCTATGCGTAGATTCTTTAATAAAAATAATTTGGATTTCGATAAATGGAAAATATTGTAGATGGACATATTTTATTATATATGTATATATCATTTACCTGCCTATGTACTCGTATTTTGATGTATTCTGCATAGAAACTGTACTACATCTGTTTAACAACTAGAACATCATATATCATAAAAGCTCTACAAAACAAATACAACTAAATTACAAGGAAGCGTATTCGTCGAACAATAAACAACAATATACAATTATACAATGAAATTAAGCTTGTATAAATACAGTGTGCAGAGAATATTAAAAATTATAAAATAGATTCGTTATTTTATTTATTACAATAACATTTCGAAAAAATTCGATACAATTTTATCTCAAAATAATATTTATACTAAATATTTTTTTTTAACTCAAACTATAGTAAATGTATATTTTTAGCGCACCGACAAAATAACACGGATTCCAATAAAATATCTTTCGGGGTCGTTTTATATAAATACCGTCTTCTTAAGTGATATTTTGACATCATTTCGGCGAGCTAAAATATTAATTTCATCACCGTTGAAATATTACCTAATACTTAAATTAATGATACTAGTTAATGGTGACGCGGCGAGTTCTGAAAAATATTAAAGTCCGGTCGAGTCTGGAGTTTCGGGCCGAACAACTACGTTCTACGGTTAAATGTCTGCAACGCATCCTAATTGGAAACAATTTATCGACTGCACTTAATTATTTTCCCGATGGGATAATGAGCTCACTCGACGTTTAGGAAACGACTAATATACGAACTTTACTCGATTATTTTGCCGAATATATGAGCTTACAGCGAAAACGTAACGAAAATAATTCCAACAGGATGGTAGCTGCGCTATTATAATATTACATTGTCGCCGGCGTCAGGTCAATAGATTTCAATAACCATAAATCGTGGCTAAACTGGCTGCAGTAATTCCAGACGATGATTGCATAATATTATTATTACTTATTATCTATAGTTAATTGAAAATAACTAATTTGATTTTATTTCAAATATAATACTTTTATTTTACACGAACAAAAACATTAAACAGTACATTATAATATTGCAGTTTATTTAATTTGTATTTTAGTACAAATATGATAAATTCGGGGGCGTACCCGGGAGTGTAGGGCTAAGGAAAATCATTTTATAACATATGTATTATTCTCCATTGAACACGAAAACAAGGGTATTTTTTTTAAATATCACTAAACAAAATTTGCCCCACAAAATAAGTGTAATAAGGCAGAACATCGTCTCGATATAATACCTAACCTGCACACGATCCAATATCGAACTAAAAATATTTAAAAAAAATTAGAACGGTTTCCAAAAGAAATAAAAACAAAATTTACCCGTGAGAATCGATGACCAGAGTCAACTGTATATACTCGCTGTTATTGGCAAATTGTCAGTAGTGTGGTATACCTACGCTCGTCTCATTTCGAAAATACGACAAAATCACCATCATCCACGATGTCTAAATTCACAATGTCACGTAATTTTAAAATATTTAAAAAATACAATATATTATGACAGTGTATGTAAATGTATATGTTTATGTATAAATATAGTTTTTGAAATGCCCTCTGATAAATTAAGGTTTAAAATATTTGCATCAAACAACTAGATGATTCAAATGTTGATCTTATAACACTGAAGTTAGAGGTTTTAAACCCTCCCCATTCAAAATGTCTGACAACTACTACCTATTTTTCAAATTTTTAAGTTTACGGAAAATTGACTTTTTTTTTCAACGAATGAGAAGATTGCAAAATTAATCTCTTCTCCCTCCCGCAATCCCAATTTTTTTTCCTGGCTGTACCATTACTGAAATAATGAATTTAAACAACCCCGGCAGATTAACATATCGTAAATAAATAAACAAACGGTAATAATCGATTTTAAGCGAATCAAATCTGTTAGTTCACTCCATAATTATATTATAAAGTTGATACGCAAGTTTTTATGAGGGTAAATATTTTTTTACTGAAGCACCTCATCGTCGCTATATTATTATATGTAACATAGACGTAGGTTGTGTTCTAAATTAAACACATATCCCGCTGAGTTTTCCGAGTTAATTATTTATACTACGATATTTCGGCAAAGCCAAAACACGAATTTGTGTTATGTATTACAACGGCAATACATTATAATAAAGTTCAGTTTTAAAGTTAAAACATATATTCGTATTATACACAATGTATGATCTATGCAAAAATAGCGATGTGTGCACCAACATTAAAACCATAATATGCGAATATATAAGTGCTAATGGAAATTTTATCGCGACCGTGACAGTATAATATAGTCGCGTTGATAAGACCTTAACACCGAAACAACACCGGGCAAATAAAACCTCTCACTAAATGACACGGCACATAAACTCAGAAAAAAAATACCAACTATTACAAGTACGAATTTAATATCAACGAATTGACCCTGAACCGCGATACATAATAGTATCGAATTTTCTACTTCAAAATATAATCTACCCAGCGTGGTTTTCGCCTTTTTTTCATCTCTATTTTTATTTATACCCAAAATTATTTTTTGACCACAAACTATTTTAGGTTTTAGGTTAATGCTTAGGACTTCCTTGGAGCAATATCAGGTTTTGTGTTAATATGTGATATATTTCAAGGTTGCAGGTGTACCTGGTTCTCAGTTTTTTCGGTAGTTTTATTTATTTATTTTTCTTAATATCCGGGGTAAATTAAAATATAATTTTTTTTCAACCTTCGAAATCTACAATAATATAATATAACAAAAAAATCTAATAGGACTGATGGGTGCGTCACTGTTTTAAGATGGAAGTTAGAAATATGATTAAAGGGTAATTTAATTTAATTTCTCGTACATTAAGAATACTATAAGAAAACCCAAAAAATGAATTTCCTAATGCGCCAAGTATTAGATTTAAAATACTTTAAGGGATAATTTGACAACAAATTGGAAACCTAGTTAGACAATGTAAAAATCTTTGGTTTTTACGATAGTGACAAGTAATAATGAAATTCCATTCTTAAAACTAATGTTTAAAAATAATATAATATACCTATACAACCAACAACTTTTTGCAAAAATTAAATATTGTTTTAACAAGCACGTTGTTAAATATATTTAATAAATGTGAGCAATTACGTATATTTAGGGTAAAAGTTGTCGATGTTTCGATAAATTGAAAATCGTTATATTTTCAACCGTTCTCGCGAAATACCAATGAATACGCGTATATTACTCAATTTTAAATAAAAAATGTTTTACTATTTGTTTTTGTGTGTCATTTTTTCGCACAATATATACAAGGTAAATTTGTTAAAAATAGAATGACTGTCATCCATTATATTATGATATATATATGGAACACTCAAATGTCTTCTGCAGTTTCAAAATAACTAGTGAAATTTAAAAATTAAAACTCGACAACAAGTTAAATTAGAACAATATGTATGTTAGAAAAAATACCTTTTACCAATTTTAAAAAAATTAAAACTTTCACATTAATTATTGTTGATATATACTGTATATGTATAATTTAATATGTATTATATATAACAGATATATATATATATATAACTAGTAAAAAAAAAAAAAAGGGGGAGCAAAATATATTTTATAATATTACAATATTGTGTAACTGAGAATAGATAATTTGACATTTGTAATTTTATATGCGTATAAAGAAATCAAACATTAAAAAAAAATTTTTTAAAATGGACGTCTTAGAATAATGGAGATGGATGTAACCACTGTTATAGGTAATTTAATGTATATTTGTAAGCAACGATGAACCAATGGTAAAGAAAAAACGATTTTGAGCGCAGTTCGGTTGATAGTGATGCTTTGTCAACAATATATGTGTCATATTATAGTAAAATAATTAAATAGGGATTATATATTTTCTTTAATATTTTTTGTTTAAAACTGTAACGATTTTCCCATTTTTTCCATTTATTGGGAAAACTCACAGGAAAATTAAAAAATGATCATTCTAAAGTACCTTCCCGGTCAGATTTCCTTTCGGAAAAATTGATATCATATTAAATCCGAACGAAATTGCTGGTAAAAAAGTTGTACACAAAAAAAAAGCCATAATATTGTTTTACTAATACTTAAATTTCATACATTTTCCCATTTTCTGACATTTTATCCAGGTTTTTCCCAGATCTTATGAAAATTGCTTGAAAATTAAAAAACGGCTTCTCTAAATTACCACAGAGATAAAATTTCCTTTCAGAAAATAAAGCTACCCTTGATACATTGGATTTCTGGTAGACAATTTTGCACAAATCAAGAGATATTTCGTGATAAAAAATGTCCTAGGGAGCGATGGCTTGGGTCTCTAGGTACATTTAAAATGCATTTGTTTTTCCTTGTTGAGGTAATAAGATAATAATAAATATAAATAACCATTAGATCACGACAAATATGCTTTAAGAAGGACAATATAGAGTTATTTAACATAACATATAATATCCGCATAAAATCAGATATTTTAAAAAGTTATAATTTCGAAACTTAGTGAGTCCGCTAAATTTGACTTCACCACCATTTTACAATCGGCAATATAAGTATGTTCAAAAAAAAAAAATTAGAAAAATTACATTTATCGACATAATTTTTTCGTCATTACCTCTTATAAAAAAAATAGTACATTAATCTCAATTTTTTTTTCTATCACAAAGACTCTTAATGAACCATATGTTAAATTTTGAAGCATTTCTGTTCAAGTCTAAACATTTTACTACAGAGTACTTACTGATTAAATATTACGTACAAAATTCTTAAAACTAAAATGTCTATAAAAACCTCAGAAATGGCCTAAATTTTTAGAAAAGTTTAGCTCGTCTAGAAAAGGTAAATGTAAGTTTTCGGTCCAAATTTTCAATCTCCAAGAATATTTTTAACTGAATTAAAACAAATAACAAAATTGAAAAATAATAAAAAAGCATAAATTTCCTGTTTTTCTTACCTTTTATCTTGTTTTTACCCAGATATTATTAAAACCAGTTGGAAAATCAAAAATTGATCTTCTAAAAGAACCATCTAGACAACATTTTCTTTCAGAAATGGTGTCGCATGTACATACCTGCGCTAGATTTATGGTCAAATTTTTTAATACAGGATAAAAAAATAAAGAGGATAATAAAAATATACATCTTAGTAAAACCAATAAATTTTTCGTTACATTCAGAATCTAAAAATAAGGACAAAACAATAAAATAAAGTTTTCACTGAGGTTAATAAATAACATGTTTTGTTATAATAACTTATATTACATTGATGCGAATACCACTGGAGAAACTAAGCTACTAAATTACACGAAATAGAATTAAATTTTCTATCCCGGAAATCAATCCAATCACGAAAATAAGACACTACGAACGTTTGAACTCAACTCGTAGAGACGATAAACGATCTTTTCGAAGTTCTCAAAAACATCTTAACTCAGAGCAAAATATATTATATACTTGACGATGTGTAGTTATTGATAGTGATTGTTCTAATTTATCGAAAATTGTGTTAAAAATATTGTAAGTAAATATATATCATATTAATATTATACTGTATAATAGCCCTTGCTGGCAAAAAGCTTCTGGTTCGATAAACAAAAAAAAAATAATAATAAAATGTTTATATGTATATTTTGAATACGATTTACAAAAAAAAAAAAAAAAAAAAATCAATCCTCGCTTTGTACTAAAAGGGGAATAGAATCGGATAGTTTTTCAATTTCCTTTATCCGGTCGTCGCTTAACGTTGTTACACTTACGTCTTTAAATCGCCCACTAAACCTTATGCTGCGCGATATTTGAACATTGACAAATAGCTTGAGCGTCTCGACTCGGATGTTTCGGTATATTACATATACTTCTATAGTCTAGGTAAAAAAAATCTAATTCTTCGTAGATTTACATTTTCGTGTATATTCAACTGATCACCGATCGCGATAACTGTTAGTGACACGTGCTGACGTATTAATCCAGGTATATGATAAGGGTGGTAAAACAAATATCATTTAGAAAAAAATCCAGAAAAAATTCAACCTCTATGAGTTTGAGCTAATATAAATAATAAGAAAAATGATCGTCAATACCTGTAAAAACGTTGACCAACTCATCATACAAAAGCTATATTATGCATAGTGTAGCTACACAAATTGATTAATTTTTTAAAAAAATTATTAGTCTGACCAAATCGTACTAGCTGTTATTATGATCATTCTTAACTGCACAAAATGATAAAATGATCATTTTAACTATACGAGGCTGAACTGGTCATTTTTCATATTTTAATTTAGATTGCAAACATTAGTAACAATCAAAAAATAATCCCTGTGTCCGAATGTAACATAATTATATTCGAAAAAGTTTTTTTTTTTTTACGGCCTCCCTCCCCACGATCACAAGAATCCACATTCAGTCCAAAATACATTTCTTACCTACGACCGTGACGGTCGAAACGGTCTCGCGGATATTAATCGAATCTCGGTCCCGGGGATGGCGGCGGCGCGGTGTGTCCTAAATCCAATTTAAAGGTCTTTGGTGGGTAAGCCATGTCGCTGCTAATGGCGTACCCGAAAGAAATCTACCGCGGTATCTATCCACGGTGACCCCGACATATACCAGGGTATACCACAGGGAGACTATATATACGCACGCAACATAACCCGATTAATTTCAAACGTCCGTACGCCACCGTTTCAGCGTTTGTCGTGTAATTAGTTTAGGTCCGATCGCGCACACACATATACAGACGCCTTTTGCAGCACAATATATGTAAATGTATACTACATAGTACATATACATACTATATCTGTATATATTATATTAATATAAAAAATATACACTGCCACGGCCACCAAAATCGTCCTTTGTGGGTCGTCATCACGTCAGACTGGTCCGTTTCGGGTCCGTCGTCACGTTAGACTGGTCCGTTTCGGAACGTCGATTGCGGTTTCGTGAAAAAACTTATAATAACTACTTGATTGACCCGCCAATCAAGAGCGTGGTGTTTTGATTTCTAAACCAAGGGTGAGATGAGATTCAGAAAAACGAATTTCACGGTAAAATTTTCCAAAGTTATGTTAAAGTGTTAACATGTTAAATGTAGATAAGAGAACGTTGGCTTATAGTCTTTTAAAAAATAGAGGAATGATCCAAAATTTTGTCTAGTATTTTCTCTTCAGTTACTATAGCTAACGTCGCTCAGTCGCCTTAGTTTACTATATATCGCCATCTAAACTTGTAATAAATTATTAAATTAAAGAAATGTATATCAATAAGAAAAATTCGCATTCAGACTCATCGAACAAATTACCGACAAGACGATGGTTACACGTAAGGTTTCAAATTGCGGCAGTGAAAAAAATGTATTTATTTCGAACTAGCATCATTTTCATGTTTGAATAGTGCAGTCTAAAAAAAAAAAAAAACAGAAATGTTGCATTTACGTGATCGTACCATGACTTGACCGGACACCGAATGACACACGGCACACGACAGACGGAAAATATGTTACGCGCTTCTGTGTGTCATTCATCTGTTCGCGCCGCCGATCCGGGATAAGCTCAGATAATCATACACATGGTTCCATATTATTTCAATTTTTTTTTTTTTAATAACATATCTTTGTTGCCAACCGGCATGGCTCGCTCGAAAAAAAAAAGGTTTTCGAAACTAATATAGTTTATTTTAAATTCCAACTATATATTCTCTAATATAATATTATCAACATTATTGGCGTCTTCCCATCAGCCAGGGCATGAATAATTGACCACCCCGAAACGTGTATAGGTGTAAAACCAAATCAAGTCTATAATCGTATTTATTTTGAACTTCATGCATATATACCAGGTGATTCATTTAAGTGGATACACTCATTATCTCGGAAATTATTAACTTTTTCCTGAATTTGTTTTCTAGAACATTTATGAAAAACAAGCTGCTCCACAATTTTATATTTATGTTATTTTTTGTCACCCTTATTTTTGAAAGGAAAACCACTAACTACTTTTGATTTTCAAATATCAAAATTTATTAAAAATTGCATAAATAGATGGAGTATTAGTTATAATAAATTTTAGTGTTTACATTTTTGATTTCCGCTGTTCCGTTGATGAGATATTCCACTTTTACGATTGGGTTGGAGTATTATTATTTAGGTAGTACAGCACGCGTCGTATTACAAATGCACCACTACTCTCCTCCAACCTAAAATTAAAAGTTGTGTATCTCGTAAACAGCCTGACAGAAATCAAAAGTGTTAACATTAATATTTATCTTAACTAATACTTAATCTATTTATAATTTTTTTAATATAGATAGATTGCCGTTTGAAAATCAAAAGTAGGTAGTTGTTTTATTTCCAAAAGTAAAGGTGACAAAAAATAACATAAATATAAAATTGTGGAGCAGCTTGTTTTTCATAAATGTTCTAGAAAATAAATTCAGGAAAAAGTTAATACTTTTCGAGATAATGAGTGTACTCACTTAAATGAATAACCTGGTAGTGTATATTGAGCAACATAAATCCTTTATACTTATAAGTTTGTTTAAATATTATATATAGATCGACCGTTCATTATTTCTGTATAATTTTAATCAGGTAGGTAGATGATTTTTGACGAGTAAAAAAATATTAAAAACCTTTTCTTTTTTTTTTTAAATACGTTTATCAACAAAATAAAAACAAAAAAATATGTCAAAGTATATTATAATGGTACGGACATTCGTTGTACAAAGTGGACGAAACATCATCAAAATATGCAAATTCAATATAATTGTATTTAAATATACGCGCGATAACGCGAAACGTAAAGTGATAAAATATATATATAAACTCTATTTTGTGTACTTGTAAAATATTCGGTCGTAGGTCCTGTACACCATGTTATTTCAGTATAAATCAATAGAAAACTATACTAAAGGGTCCAACTATACATCAGTGGATCAAAATGCAGATGCAAAGAAACTATAACTAAGTACTCCGTCTCTGATTTTGATTAAACCATAACATGCGTATAGTCGATTGTTTCAAAATGTATTGTACATAGAGTGAATATTATATTTTATACTAATGTTTAAATTAAAATGTACCGTAATCAAATTCCGCAATATGATAGTTCATCAAAATAAGGTGGTCCCGTAAGTATACACTTATATATGGTACTTAAAAAAATAGTGCATTTTTAACTTATATATTTTAATACTTAAAAAATCTATAATACTGAGCTATTGAACATCAAACTTATCGTCAAAAATGTTTATCGTATGAATGGCTTCACAACTTCGTAAAAGTTTTAGCCGCCACCGCTGTCATTGCTTGGATTTTTTTTCTCTCATTCTGTCTCGTCCAACACTTTACTATCGTTTTTTTCGGCATTTCTCTAGGTCCCATGTTTTTTTCTACTATCTTCTATTCGTTTAGTACTGTATTAATTTGTCGCGTTACTTTCTTTCACATAATGGCATGCCACTGAAGTCTTTATTCACAGCAAATCATGTGAAGGATCTTTGTCACTATTTCTCTCATCGTCTCTCGTTAATAGGAACGTTTTTTTCTTTATTTTTTTCTTAGGAATTATTTATAATATTATTCAGAAAATTAAAAGCATTTGTAAGTTTTGAACAAGAATAGTATTATTAAAATGTGTATAAAATTGGTTTGATATAGTCACCCGTTAAACTGCGACATCGTTAATGCCACCTTCAACAAAAAAATATAGAATATCTAGAGTTTATTTTGTTGTAACTAGTAAAATATAAAATTCATACAAATCAGGTATCTTCTTAAATTACTATGAAAACTGTACAGAAAAATAATTAATATCAATGTTTTAATTTTGACAAAACCATTACTATTTATGTCAGTGTTTATTTTAAATATTTAACTGATATAATAGTAACAGTTAAACCATAAAAAAAACTTGCGATTCACGAACAGCAATAACATTGTTAAAACGTATTTCAAAATCAAAATTAAAATAAATATCCAGATCAAATTTGTGTAATGTCGCATAGTACATTTAATTTCTATCCAACTGTGTAAATACGCATATTACGTTCAGTATTTCGTTAAAACTATATAATTTATTTATAACGTCGATTACATTGTTATTATTCCAATATTAATGTTGTTTCGAACTTTTTAATTACGACAATACGAGTGTAAAAAATCCATAAACAATATACTATTCAGATGTTCTGGGTATATTTGCATGCGTTTGATAATATTATCTAATATATTTATGTGATTACAATATTATATTATACGAGGAATGCCGATGACAAGAGAGCAGCCGAGTTTGTAATAATATTATTATCAACCGTTATTATATCATACGCAAAGTTTAAAAGTTACCTATCTACCTACTTATCTACCTACCTACCTACCCATAAAAAATACGTAACAACGAGTAAAGACAAAGGAAAAAAAATAGACCTACACATTTAATACTACTCCGTACTGTGATAACACGAGTCTATATGGGTTCTATGTAGATATCTGGTACTTATATATTTATGTATAATATATAGGTTATATACTATGTTACACGAAAAGCTGGGGCAGTTGTAAATATTATACTTCACAAAATGTATTATAGGTATATATACTTGGGATTTCTATACACTTTGTAAAGTGTAAAACATTGCTGCGCTCACAACAAATCGTATTTTGTACAAAGCACCGCCACAACCGCCGCTGTACATAGCTATAGATAGCATCGTAAAATTCACATTTCGCAAAATGTACAAACATTATTACAAAGCATTAAGTATAAGGAAATATTATATATATTATCGTTATTTATACTTGACAAGGATAAAATCAAATCTCACGTTAATCAACAATGTTCAACATACAAAAAAAAAAAAAATGCGGAAAGGTTTTCTTATACAACGAAAAAATCCGAAATGCATTTTTCTAATGTAATTTACATTCAGATATTTAAAACTGCCATCAAAAGCTAAGATTTTAATCATTATCTATATTATATTTTATACAAATTGAATAATGTGAGTTTTGATAATAGTTTAAATCACATATGCGAGTGTTCATTTTATGGATCATGTCATCTTTTTGACACTGGTTAAATAAGATTCAGTATCAAAACTTTCATGATCACTTTTTAACTTTAACACAAAAATCACTACATTTTTTAAATGTCGACATTTTCTAGTGCGTATTTTAAAATATATACAGTAAAACCTGAATATAACGGATAGTTACGGGACCATAAAAATGTCCGTTATCGACAGAAACGGGAGGTGGTATTGCAAAAAAAAATTAAAACGAACCGAAAAAAATGGACAGCACTATAATAACGTGTTTTTGGTTATTTTCGTTCTCTAAATTAACTTTACTATTATTATCAAACACGCAATCTGTCATAATCAGTACCTATTCAAAATAGACCGACGACGCTGGTATGCAGGTATGTACATTGTACACGTTTGCAATACATTTTATTTTAAACTATCAAGGTATTGGGAAAAATATTACTGTCTGTGTCCGTAATAGAAAAAGTCCGTTATAGACAGGTTAAAATACATTCGAATGCCTATCATTTTGCCGGGATCTCAGTATTTTGTCCATTAAGAGAGGTGTCCATTATGACTGTATTACAGAATCAGATTTGCTTTCAAAAATCCTGTAAAATAGTGTAACTAACTCATTTTTCTAGTTGTTGGAACATATGAATGTTATTTCTAGCCTACTAATTTACTAATTGTGATATTTACTACGTGTTATGTTTTAATTTAAACATGTTGCTTCTATAATGTATTAGACGTTTATTATCTCCTCCTATGTATTATAAATGTATCTGTATAATTAAAAACTACAAATACTAATTTCGTCTTACAAAAAAAAAAAAAAAAATTGAAAATAATACATTTTTACATTTTTCCGCTTTTTTCCGGTTATTTCCAATTATTATGAAAATGCCTTGGAAAATCGAAAAATGACTTCTTTAATAAACCAATAAGACAAAATTACCTTTCAGAAAAAGATACGATACACTCTATACATCGGAGAAAGATTTCTGAATGAAAAGTTATTTACAGGCAAAAAAAAAACACACATCTTAGTAATACCAACAGATCACTCGCTACGCTCCGAAAATAAAAAGTTAACACGTGTAAGCGTATAACAACATTATCGTAACCCCGATTTCACGATGTGGTTATTTTTGCATTTCAAATCTCTAACTGGTTCAATGAAATTTAAAATACATTTTTTTTTGTTTGCAAATATATGGAACAAATCTCGAATATTGCGTCGGATACGTATAAAATAAATTTCGATTTTAATATAATATGCGAACTGTAAATCAATGCATAGTAATAACAATAATAATTCCGAATCAACAACTCGAAAAACAACATTGTATGTACATAAAATGTTGTTATCCACAGTTATACATTATTATTTATATGAATGGGAAACTAATTAATCCAGTTATATGGCGTGCGTAATATTATTCATTATGCGTATTATTGTTATAATATTATCGTATTTTAACGACGAGAAATAAATATTTTAATAACAACCTCAGTCGATGTAGTATACGAATGGGGAGGGAGGGTTTATTTGTCTCTATATAATTTTAAGGGACAGGCGTGTACCCATCCAACCTAAGCTACCTGCGCGTATATTTGTACGCGAATTTCAAAACATTATAAACTTAATTAAAAGGAAAATTATTTAGGCTACATTTGTTCTTGTTATGTTATAATAAATTTATTTATTTGGTTATAACTCATAAAATAAGCGTCAATTTTATTATTATTATTATTATATATATAACTTTTCTGTAATACTATATGCTTTCAAACATCAAATCTCGCGAGCGTATCTCGCGCATTCCGGATGATCGCATTATCACAAAGAATAAGTGATCCCGATCATTAACTACTATACGTATCTAATAAACAAAAAAAAAAAGGCCAAATAGTTAAAATGTATCGAATATTTCGATAAACCGTTGCTAACAAAAAACGACTTGGTGCAAAGTTCGTTTATACATTACTTTTTTTTAACTACTAAGTAGATCTTATTACGAACACCCATGCATTTGTGGTAGGTCAAACAAATATATCCACAAAATACCTACCAAATAAAAACTCACAAACATAGAATGCATATAAATAACTTAAAAATCACCTGAACATTTTAAAATGTTACCACTTTCAGAAAAGGTAAATATAAATTTTATGGCAAAATGTCGAATCTTTGCGAATATTTTTAATAATTATAACAAAAAACCAAATTGAAAAAAATGAAATCAGAACTTCCGTAAATGTTCCCGTTCATTCTAATTTTTTTCTTTTTGTTTTGTTTTGCTTAATTGTTAAAACAACTAAAAAAAAAAATCAAAAAAATCTCTTCCTCACTAACTGGATTAAAAATCCAACAAAAGAAGTCCATAATGGTTTTTAGATTGGAGAAAGACTTCTAGTAGAAATTATAAAGCGTACAAGTTTAAAATAATGAAAACGTTATGACAAAAATTTATTCGTTATAATTTTTCTCCTTTTTTTCGATTTTTCCCAATTATGAAAATTATTAGGAAAACTAAAAAAAAAAAACTACTTTCCTAAAAAATAAGATCAAAAATACAACAAAAATTGTTGATTATCATTTTTTGATCAAAGCCATATTTTTGGTAGAAAATTTAAAATAGTCAAATCAGTAACGTGTTGTGGTGCATTACTTCAGTACATCAATTAGATAAAATTTCACACACACACGCACATCCTATAAATCCCTCGCTATGTTGCAATAAAAAAAAAACTCAAAAGACGAAGTATCTTTTTTATTATTAATTTTTTTATTTCTAGGTTTCATTGGTTACAATAGAAAAAATTACGACTTTAATATTATAAATCTACTAATTTATATTGAGTATTATTTAGAATCGTTTTTCGGTAGCAAAGATCTGTCATTAATTTCCGTAAATAATAAACTGAATTATCCTATATCTTATCCTTTACCTTTCTAACTTCACACATACAACTTTGCCCTTATAACGGTGCGAAGTATGTTTCGCATTAATTGTTGTTTAATTAAAAATGTTTAATAAATTAATCACGAAATACTTCGAATATAATCAGATGACAGCCATAAACAATTGATCATATTTAAATATTTGAAATTTCCGAAGAATGCGGTAAATACAAATGGATTACAATGCGAGCAATAAAAATTAAGTACCTTTATTATTAATGAATTTACAACTGCAAAACAAACCAAAACAAAATTAGTTGGTCGTGGGTACATAAATAAATAATTTAGTATACACAAATATCAAATATAAAAAAAAATAATAAGAAATGAAATACTGTAAAATGCTAACTACAGAAATATCGTTGATTTACTAGTTACAGGTACTAGTTACATATACTATTTATATATATGTATATATATATATATATATATATGTATATGACTAAACGGTGCCTAATGGTAAATCGCAAACAATTTCAATGTCAAACTCTGTCGAAATTTATTTTTATAGCTTAAGAGTTTTGAAAATTTTACCGCGTTTAGAAAAGGCAAATATATGTTTTTTGTCTGAATGTTAAATTTTTCGAAAATCGAACCAAAACAAAAAAAAAAATCGAAAATAATAAATTTTGTAAATTATCCTATTATTCCTATGATTTTTTTCAATTTTTATGAAAACCATTCGGAAAATCAAAAGATGACTACTTTAAAGAACCGAGTAGATAATATTTCATTTCAAAAAAATGACTACACTTGAATCATAAAAGCTAGATTCTTAGTAGAAAAGTTGTTCACGGAATAAAAAAATAATAATAATAAAGATTATTGTAACATCAATACTTTCATTACTACAATCCGAATCTAAAATAAGTAATATTGATAATGGGTCTGTCACTGTTGTATGTGGAATATTGGGAAGGTATTGTATATAAAGTTATGTAATTTATAAATGCACTCAACGATAAATCATTGTTGACGAAATGCGATTCTAAGCGTTGTTCTGTTAAATATGTTTTTAAATTTTTAAAATTTAAAACTACCAAGTAAAATGCTAAGTTCAATTAATGAACCTTATGTTTTATTTTTTAGTCATTTTGGCTAGGTGAAAATTACATTCATAAAAATCAAAAAATAACACGCAGAAAAATGCCGCTTAATTTTTACGTATTTCGTTAATATTTTAAATTTAAATGCGTAAAACATTTATATTAAACCAAGAGTAAAATGTTCTAAGATTTCGCTCAACAATTAGTTACTGTATTTATTTATACTATTGAAAAAAACTGTTTTATAACTTACAAATGAAAATTGTAAATCATATACTATTGTATTGTATGTTACACAAATGTGTACCTACTTAACTAATGATTCTATTTTAGATTTGGAGCGCGGCGAGTGATCTATTAGGTTTAACTATGATGTGTGCTGTTTTTTTTCTGTCTATAAACTTTTCGAAAAGAAATCTTGCACCGATGTACAGAGTATTATAGTACTTTTTTTTAAAGGAAATTTTGTCTAGTTTTGAAAATAATTGTGAAAAATCCGATAGGAAACTATCGGTAAAATGTCAAATGTTTACCAACAAATATTTACGGAGCGCCACGGCGTTACCATTTTTAATGTTTTTAATATGTTTAATATGTTTACACAATGTTTTATACCTGAAATATTGCTCTAATTAAAAAATGATATGAGGTAGATTTTGTTGCTTTTAACATATAGTCTTAAAAAGAAAATCATTTTTTGATACTTAACGTATTTTCCATAATAATTGGAAAAACCAATAAAGACAAAAAATACGACTTTTTTTCTAATTGTGCAACGATTTCATTATTTTAAATTTGTATGGCTAACATTTTGTACAAAAAAATTTGCTTCAATAGTTAAACGCTTAGAGTCCTTTTTTGTTGCATTTTTAATTTAGTTCGTGAGTAGGTCATTTTTAATAATTGAGCAAAATCGAAAAATCCGTAAAAAGAACGGGAAAATTTACGAAAATGTTTTATATTAATATTTATTACTTTTATTATTTAAAATTCTGTTTTTGTAATTTAATTCCGTGAAATATATTCATAGAAACTTAACGTTTTGACAAAAAATGAATATTCGCTTTTTCTAAATTGGTAACATTTTTAAAACATTTGTGCCATTTTTTAGCTACTTGTAGACATTTTAAATTTACGGATTTTTTTAAGTTATTTTTATTTAGTACGTAGCATGTGGATACAATTGTTAGAATAACCAGAAGTGCTTAAACATTTGACAAGAGATTCATTATAAGTATTTCATGGTTAAAAAAAAATTGAATATCCCTATTATAGTATTTTAGATTATGAGTGGAGCGAAGAAGCTTATGGTTTTACTAAGATTTTTATTTTTTTACCCCTGCGCAGTTTTTCTACCAGCAATTTTGTTCAGATTTACAATGATAGCACCTTTTCTAATAGGAAATTTGACTGGGAAGGTACTTGAGGGAATTTATTTTTTGGTTTATTCAGGATTTTTATCAACAAATGGGAAAAACTGGGAAATATGATCAAAAACGGGATAATCGATACATTAAACAAATATTATTAAAGAAAATATATAATACCTATTTATTATTATTTTATCCTAATATGACATATATTGTTGATACTATCAACTGCCATCAACTGAACCCCGCTCGGAATTGTTTTTGCGTTAGCCACGATTTATCGTTGTTTTCAGGTATACACAGACACTCATCTCAATTTTCCTAGGATAACTTTTTTTTTTTTATTAATTTTTAAAAACAATATATTCAACCGAACTTTGTCCCCAATTGTTTTTCGTTAGAAATGGTTTATCGTTAGTAACAGGTATAACAAGTACCTTTATGTATCCTATTTTCCCAACTATACATCTATAGTAGTGCCCTCACCCGTCTCCAGTATCATTTTTTTTTTTTTTTTTTACTTGAGTGCCTTCATAGTAGTATGCTGCTCACGTCTTTTTTCATTAGCACGGTGCTGGACTGCTTCCNTATCGTTGTTTTCAGGTATACACAGACACTCATCTCAATTTTCCTAGGATAACTTTTTTTTTTTTTTTACTTGAGTGCCTTCATAGTAGTATGCTGCTCACGTCTTTTTTCATTAGCACGGTGCTGGACTGCTTCCGCAATTTCTTTATTTGTAGGGGCTCTCTCACTGTTTGATACTGTTTGATTCTTCTACATCATCAGTATCAGCCTATTCGAGTTTTTGAGGATTCAAAACCACATTATAGATATCCTCTTGATTCAAATAACCGACCTGTTGTTTCAATAACCCTATTGTATACCGGTAATGGATACAATTCCTAATAAGAGTGGCTTTTATTGTACTTATGTTATCTTTTACAAGTACGAATATTATATTAAACTATCGTGCATTGTAATGTATTAAGAGTGTTTACCCTTGCAATTTTCCATAAATACATTGCACCAATTTTTTCCAGATCAAAAACGATAGTATGAATTGAAGGAAGTACTTATAATCCGTGTTATATTTAGATATTATACTTGATTAAATTAATAAAAACTAGATTAATTATGGGAAAACATGATTCTAAACACTATTTTAAGTTATATTTTTTTCTCTATACTAGTATTTTTCAAAATAAGATTAGTAAAATATACTAGCTAGTATGTATATTGCAAATGTTTCTCAAATTTTACTGAAGTATTAATTTCACAGTATACGATTGAGTGCACGCGACGGTCATACGTGTCTGTGTTAATATTAGGTATATTATTATAATAATAGTACATAATAATAATTACAGAGGTATATGGTTTCATCAATTAATTACGAGAATGATTTCTACCTAAATTTGATATTAATAAACACATAAATGCGTAATTATGTGTGAATATAATTATAACATATATTATTATTATTATTATTTACCAGATACCTGTATGATGCTCCGCTATAAACTGCGTATATTCAACAGTATTTCGCAGCATTTGTAAATTTCATATGTGTACACTACACTGTACATATTAATAGTATATACGATATTTACTTGAAAAGTCAAATTTAGTACATATTATCTATAAATACTTGGGGTCAGACACCATCGTCAACTAGTCCTCTCCCAAAATGTAAAATATCTTACAATACCATAATCATGTATAATAGTTTCGTAATAAGGTTCTGGCATTAACGCTCGGTCACAAGACTTTTCGACTTCAAAATGTGTGATTCACTCAACATGACATTTGTATCCTTTTTTATTTTCATCCGACAATATAGTTTTTCGCCTAAAGGTTTTGGCTTGTGGCCATTGACTTTATCCTTGAAACAGGTATTCAGGATAAATTTATCTGACAATGATTTTTCATCACGTGGATAACTACTTCTAACTTAAAGTTTTACAATTAAACGGTATGGTTTTTTGTTTTAATATACCTATTGATGTATAATGTATATATCATATATATACAATTATATATTATTTAACCACGTTGAAAATACCACGGAAATATTTATTTAAACATAATAAACAAATTAAATAATTGTATACATAATTTTCTCCTCGATGAAAATCTTCTTAAATAATGCGATAAAGAATCCCTGGCCACGTTCCTACTTATCTATAACTAAAAAAAATAAAAATACTCTATCCCAGAGATATAAAAATGAAAAACAAATCTTTTCCACTAGAATAACACTAACTGTATAACAAAATATGTACTACATTAATTAAAATTTCTGTTTGTAAATTAAAACATATATTAATCATTTCTACCGAATGAATTCGAGCAACAATAACTCGAACAAACTGAAATGTACACAAAATTAAACACAAGGTGTACTGTAATTAATATTATTGAATTAAATAAAAATTAAGTTAGATATCTACTTAAAATAAAACTATCATCAAAAAACTGTGAAAATCTATATAAAATAAAACTAATTCTGTTCATAGGTGAGCCATTTAGAAAACTACAAGAGAAATCAAAAAAAAATATATCTAACTAGATCGAAAATGATACAAAAATTCTCCTGGAAGTATTGATTGAAGTAATATTTCTAATAGAAATGTTGTTGTAGATATACATATAAAAACACATCTTAGAAAAACCAAATTTCTCGTTCACTTAGAATATATAATATACGTATATACTTAAACTAAATAAATAATAAATTTCATACTATTCAACATGGCCCTAGTTGAAAGTAGTGATCTAAAGGGATCGTTAATTTTAGTCCAGAAAATATCTTTGAAACAGTGGAGATGGCCAAAATTGGATTTAAAATATTATTATTTACCTATAATCACACGCTTTTTACGGTTTACGATATGGTACTTTTTAGTTAAAATTCTAAAATTCAACTTGATAACAACTTAAATTATAATTTAAGTTAATAATTATTACCAATTATTGTAGCTATGAGAATAAAAATGCTTAATTTGTAATATAATTTTCTGAATATATTTATTTTTATTTTTAATTCAAAACATTGTATGCATATAGATAGCTGTCTAATAAATGCTTATTTGGGTTAAAATATAATTTAACAGAAGTAAAATAGTTTTTTTCGAATAAGGAGTAAAAAAAATCTTGATTCCAGAGACAACGTAATATTCACGTGGAAAATATCACCGAAGTTTTTATTTTTATGAAATCCAGATGGGTTCGAGTAAGTATAAAATACAATTTTTTAAAAATATTTCCATACTTACTTCGTCGTCACGCCTCAGGAAACACGCAAAAAGCCTGTAATGGTTTATTTTATTTATATTCGAAACGGAAAATGGATGTCGAGTGGATTCAGGGGAGGAGGTAAAGGGGAGAACCCTGTCCGCCAACGATGTAACAGCAACTGCACTAACACTGACGTTTAACACACAAAGACGAGATCTTAACGCGCGGCAAATTTATTTGCTACCCCCTTACTATGGACTATACAGTGTGATCATAAGTAGTAATAAGTACTGAAACTTATATTTAAGGATAAATTTGAATTGTTAATATTTTTGGTGAGCAGTTTATAGTGATCTAAAGTTACTTAGGAAATATAATTTTTTATTGATTTTTCAAAATAAGCATGTAAATATGTAAACTGCAGTGTAATAATATGTATGATTATCTTTACTTAGAAAGTGGTCAAACCACATAACTTTTTAAGTTACCGGTTAAACATTTATGAAAACATGAGAAAAAATTGTATACTTTTAATAAACTTAGAACGAAATTGTATTTAAGACGAAAAAAAATTGGATAAGTAGAAATTTATTTTAATTTGATGTTAAAAATAAACAAAATTTATTCTAAAATGTTTAAATTACAATACGTTTAATATATTATCACCTTTAGAAAACCAAATTTAACGCCACATATGTGCTGTTACCTGGAAAAAAAACACTCACACTGTATGGTATTATGTATACGAAAAACGTATTTACAGACCGTATAGTTCGATTTAAACGGTACATAAGTAAGCACAACTCGCTGTGGCTTTTTTTATCGACTAGGTTTTAGGTTTATTACACTTAGGACACCTTACTTCCTTAGAGCATTATCCGGTTTGGCCAACAAGTAGGTCAAGTTCTGTAAAACGTCTAAAACCTTTTAAAACCAACTCAGTCACGTTTCAACTAGGGCCGAACTCAGATAGCGTCTGTAAATACGCGTAGTACGTGGAAGTCGTCTAGGTGGAAAACTTTTCCGTAATAATTTGTTGGGCCCAACGCTTATAATGCATTTTCCTCAGAACATTTCCGCGTCTGCAAAGGAGTAAACAGGAATACTGGATCTCCACCCTCCCCCCTTTTTTTTTTTTAATATTTATTTATTTTGAATCCCACAAGTAGTCGGTCGCGTGCGAAACAGCATTTTGCCCACTCGCAGATACACACACAAACACACCTGCATACCTATTATAAACGGGTCGTTGTAAACCGCGGTTTAATACGTTCACCCGGTTAATCGGCGGCGCGTTAATTTTTTCCCGACGGGACCAGGTACACGACGTCACCGCCACCGTCCTTTTTGTTTTGTATTACAACTATATATACCTTATTCAACCACGCGTAGTAATAATATTACGTTGTTAGTTTGTTACACGAATAATTAATGCATGTACCGGTGTGATTTTATATTTCCTAATCGAGTATACCACTACGGTTAAAATCCCAAAAAGGCGATTTCAAACGAACACATTTTGTCCAATATATTTTAGAAACCGTCATAATATCTAATAACCAATCAAAAATACAGATTCCTTAAACCATTCAGAACTTTTAAAAGAAAAAAAATCAAACAATATTTTAAAATTGGCATAAATACAGTTTAGCTACCGTGCAATTTTTAAAATTATATTTGCGTATAATCCACCGGAGGAAAACACGGAGATCCATAATAGCCATTTCACACAACCTAACAAAACTTCTTAAATTATTCTAAAATTGCATTTCAATTTTATCGCATAAATATTTGAAATGAAAATGTCCAAACAGATTTAATTTTTCTGTAAACCTAAGAAATTTCGAAAGAAGTAAAACTCGTAGAAAAAATGTATTTTTGAAAAATTTTGTTTTCTATCGATTTTTTAAAATTAGTTTCGAAAAATCGTAAAAAGTTGTAGAAACATTACATAAATTTTAATGTAAATAAGCGATGTTCTTATCAATGATTTGTTTTTTCCGTTGAAAGAGTATATTTTGTCAGGTTCCTGCATTTTTTTTTAGAAATTATAATTTGTATAGTCTCCAAGTTTTCTACTTTTCAAGCATTTTGATCACTATAATAAATATTGCACCTTTTATAACCGACTATGATGGTTTATACGCATATATATTTATACATAATATTATGGCGCATCATATGATTTTGGTACATCGCGAATTGGCAGATTCTTCTGGGAATTAAACGTCCGCGATTGTTTGTTTATACATATTTGAATAGCTTGTTTGAATATCTTTTGGCCTCATTTGGATATTAAGTAGCTTATTTGAATAGCTCTTGGTCTTTCATTTAAATGTAAAGGTATAATATTAATATTATTTAGAAAATCTCAGAGACTAATTAAAATTTCTCCATATACAGGGTGTTTTTACAGGGTGAATTCTCAATAACACTCATTATCTCCGAAAGTATTAACTTTTTAAGGAATTTTTTTTTTTTTTGACAATTTATGAAACAAGCGTACTCTAAAAATGTGACATTATCGATATTTTTGCAGGTGAAACGATCGCCAACTTTTGATGTTCAAAAAAATCACTTATATTAAATATTCCATAAATAGATACATTTTTAATTTAAATACATATTTAGCTGTTATAATTTTCAATTTTCGTCAACTATTAACGAAATAATCCACTTTTAAGTCTAGTTAGTGGGAGAATAGTGGAGCTTATTTATGAGTGACTTTGCGGTCCTTGATCCACTTATCTCTCTCTATTCAAACTTAAAAGTGGAATACCTTGAAACAAGTTAACGGAAATAAAAAAAAAGATTAAAATCCAATTTTTTTAAAATAAACTTTATATTTATGTGGAATTTTTATAATACTATATTAATATTTGAAAATCGAAATTGGGTATTGGTGTGAACAACCAAAAAAGGGTGACAAAAAATAACGGTAATGTAGTATATTAGAGCTGTTTATTATCCTTAATATCCTTATAAGACAACTTTAAATACCTATTATATAAAAAATGTATACCTTCATTGTAGTTAAACATTATTCATTAATATTATTGTATCCGGTATTTTTGGGATATTCTTAATTATCAACATTCTGTATTTTTTGAAAACAAATTGTATATGTAGTAAAACAGATAAAAAAATGAAATGTATATTTATACGTAAAGAGAAACTATTCTTAGCAAAAAAATAATTCTGAGTGTAGTTCGGTCATACATGTTTTGAATGCCGTGATATTTACGATTATCGTCAAAAGTTGATCTTAAAACGCTTTTATAAAATAAAATCACATTACGATCAACTATTTTTTTAAAACATTTAATGAACCCCGTAATTAAATTTTCATTTTCATTCAACGATTTTATTCGTATAATACTTTCCTAATAAAATTTTTTAAACAAATCGAAAATGTCAAATGACTTGGTTTAAAAATCGTCAGAATAATTTTTCAAATTTTACAACGTCTAGAATAGTCTTAAATCAATATTCTTTACAATTTTCAGGTTTCAAAAAATATTATTAAATAATAGCAGACAAAATAAAAAAAAAATTTAAAATAATAAAATCAATATTTCTATATTGTTCTTCATTTTTTCCCAGTTTTCCCAATTATTAAGAAAACTGCATGGAAAATAAAATTCTTTAATAAGATCCTTTCACAAAAACTAAAAAAAATTTATTTCAGAAAACATGTAAAACTTGATTTTTTGTGCAAGATATCTGGTAAGAAATAAAAACGAAAAATTTTAAATAATGAAATTTGTAACTCCATGGCGTTTCTTAAATATTAATCTAATTTTCTTTACGTTATTTTCCAGATTTTCCAGTTATCACGAAAACCACTTGGAATATCAAAAAAACCAATCTCATTAAATGCGATTACTAGGTACAAAATGCAATAAAAACAAGTATATTTTATTCTTGATTGGAAAATGATTTTTGGAAAAGTTGTTCACAGAAAAAACAAAAAACACATCATATCTAGTAAAACCAATACATTACTCTCTACACTTAGAACCCAAAATATATTTGTTAAAATTGAAAAGTTTACAAGCATTTTAACAGCAGTTGTCGTTCTGCACTGTTTAAAAAAAATGCATAATTTTTTTTTTTTTTTTTTTTACCATATGATAATATAAAAATCAAGTATATTTTAGAACTAGTGCAACACCATCGTTATATTAACCGACACTTAGATATTTCATCTGTATGGTAAGAAGGGTGTCATTTAGCAACAAGTTCTCACACGTAAAACACCACAATATTATATTATTAATGTTCTATTGACAATCCTCCACAAAGGTTCGAATCCCAAATCTAATTTATTACTAAGTAAATATAATCAAACATCATTACTACCACACCGCGGTGACCCATGATGCTCTTGATATTATCGACACGCGGTTTATCGAAAATGTAAAAATTGTATAATAATATAATGTAATAATACATTGTAGTTACATGGGAAAATATAAAATAGTCCTGTTAAACTGTGTATAATATATTTGTTTGTTTAGATATATTGTGAACTCATTTTGCTGTTATTGTTAAAACGCTTTGTCAATAAATTATTAAATAGTTTTAAATGAGTCAGACATTTTTTGTGGAGGCCATTTTTGTAGGTGGGAAGTTGGCAAGGTATAATAGTTGAAATGGATTAATTTAGTTTATAAGCTGTGACGTTCAATAAACTATCTGAAACTCAATCTGAAAGCAAAGATAAATCATATTACAATGGAAAAAACGATTCTGAGTAGAATTCGGTTAACTGGTCCTGCCATATAGTATAGATCGTATTTTTTTCTCCTTACAGCTAATAAATCAACAAGAATAAAACTAATGTATTGTCATTCATTTTTATCAGGTTTTCAAATCTTTTTTAGAAAAACTGTTTTGTAATCAAGATAAATGTGAACACGCTGAGCGGAAATGTCGAACATTTTAATGAACTACGTGAACAAATTTGGAGCACTTTTACCGACTTAGTACATAAAATAAACATGTTAAGATAGTGTGAAGAGGAATTCAATAAGACATGTTTAAAATCATCAAAATAAGAAAAATTACAATGCAACTGTTTTATATATTAAAAAAAAAAAGACTCGAACAAATCTTAGTGTTTATTGTTTTTATTTAAATTTGATTGAACTTTTGTTATAAAAGTTAACAAAATTTTAAAATGTGGAAAAATAAAAGAATTTGTTAATAACTTGTAACATTATAACTTTGAGCATATTACCATTGTTTCAATGTGAACTATGCATAGTATCATTGTGCCTCACTCTCCTCTACTCCGATTGTTATTTATAACGGTAATTTACTTAATAAATAAATTAATATTTTGTATAAACATTTTTTTTTTTATTAGTTATTACCATCGTAGTTAAGTTTTGTAAAAATCGTTTAAATTCCGAAAACTCTCGAATCTATTATAAGTATATTGTAAAAATTCAATTACTATTCAAAACGTTTACTCGTTTCTCCATTATAGAAACACGCCTAGGACTGTCGAAGTGTGCGTTTTTCTAAGACATTTTATTGTATTATTGTTTAATTAAAAGATAATTTCTTTATGTACACTACCCGAGTGATTTTGTTAAATAAATTATCTTTTTGACAAAATATAATAAGAGTTTAAAGCGGTGTATAGAAATTTAAGAAGTATTTATATAGTGAAATGAACAACTGCAAAAATGTAAAAAGAAATCTTTGTTACAGATTTGAATCAAAAGCCAATTATCTTTTTACTTATGGTTACTGCAATATTATTTTATAAATTTAGTTACGAATTATCATTCGTTTATAATGAAAAATATACTGAAAAAAAAAACGTCATGAAAATTATTTTATTAAATAAATCGTAAATTTTTTGTCATTTTAATACAAACATTTGTATACGATGATATCCCAGTTTTAAATGGAAATATTAATGATATTTTGTTTTTTGGAACTGTATACGTACAGTTGAGAAATGTGTAATAATTATAAGTCACTGGGATGTAACAGTAGCTTGCCCTCCACCCCGGTCGGTTGGTCAAATCACGGAACATAATATTATATGGTTACTTCATTATTTCATAGTCTATAAACCATAGATGTAACGGCATGTTAATATCAACTTGGTGTATGGACAACCGAGTAGGACTGTACATCGGCCATTTATAGTTTGTGTTATGGATACTTAGGCAACGCGTCTTATAATAATTTCAATTACTAATATCATTTAATATCGTCAATAGACATTTTTATATTGTTTTTTTCCCGTGATTAGATCGACTACTATAATAGTTCTATCTGTTTTGCTTATCCTACATATGGTTCTTCCTCAGGTTTTTATTCATCTGTGTACGCGGTCCATAGTTTTATTATGTCTATGGAATGAAACGATCCGTCGCGATTTGTACTGAGACCGAAAAACCCCAAGTCGATAAAAGGAACGACGACCAAAAAAAAAAAAAATCTACCCGTTTGTCTTGATTAAGTACGATGCAGTTAATAAAGTTTTTAAAACTTTCACTTGGTCTCTTTTTGATAGGAGGGCTTTATACTTTCCGTATATCTACTTATATTAGAGTGCAATTCATTCAAATATTCAAACCGTTGTTTTTTTATTTTTTTGAGTACCCTTTATATTGTTTAGGCACCTGTTACGACGATCGAATACTTCAAAATAAGAAACGCGCAACCGTCCATAAATAATTGTTTTTTTTTTTGACATAAATATTTTCACAAAAACAGAATGTAACATTACATTCAAATTTCCATCGAATAAAACAATGTTTTCACTATAGATACACATTTTTCAAGTGATTCAATTATTCATTCACCTAAATATATTATGTCCAAAAACAAAACCACCTACACCAGTAGCATTTTAATTTTTGGATAAAAAGTGCTTGTATACGCGCGGTGTAATCTTAATGAAGATTAAAAATGACGTGGCTGATTGTATTTTCAAATAAACCACCGCTGTCGAGTTGAATGGATTATAAGCGATTATTAAAATAATATAACATTTGAGAGGGATGTTCGAAAATGGCCACTCATTTTTTTTAGTCGGTGAGTTTTAAATATCGGACTGATTAAAAAAGGTTATTTTATGACTGACATGAAATTATAATAATTATTTTAAATTACCGAGGAACCATGCAGCACAATGGTATACATAACTATGTATCATATCAAAGAGATTTTATAAAGAACAATGTGTATAAAATATTATAATATGTATGTTTTAAGCCTGTAAAAAATTGATACAAATCTTTGAGTAGCGGCGGTCAAATCACTTTACCATAGAGAAAGACGAGGTTGATTTGTTAACAATTATTATTGATTACATTATTTTATATTCTCAGCAAAACAAGAAACACGTACTGTGTTTAGTATGGTGGTTTTATCTTTTTGGGCCTAACTTTTTCACCGGAAATCTTTCTCGGAAAATTCCTTGTAGCATTTTTGTTCTGGTTATTGGTGCATTGAGGAAATGATTTTTCTATTTTACTTGTAGTTTTATTATTAATAAAATAGAAAAAATGTACAAGTTTTGGTGTAAGTTTTGTTGATTTTTATCCTATATTGCTCAGAATCGTTTTTCATTAGCAACGGTTTATTATTACATACATATACAAATTAAATCACTCTATATGTTTTCCCTTCCATCTTCTCTCCTAAAACAATAGCACTGCACCCATCATCAGCAGTAATAGCCAGGATTTTAAATAAATATATCTAGCAGGTAGTGTTATTTATTATACTTATAAAGAGAAAATAACATAGCGATTGCTCAAAACTTCTTTTTTTTCCCCGTATTTTGCACTTTTTTTTAGTAATAGACCAAGTATAGCCCACTTGTCATCGAGTTTTCTTTACCAAACAATAATTTTTTTTGCAAACAATTTTTTTTTTTTAGTTTTTCTTTGTGCGAGAAATAAAAAAAATCATCCCCGCTGTCAATGGTTGTATATTAAAAGGACTTACGATCCCACGGTTTATTATACAAATAATATTACGGAGTATTAAAACACTCATTGAAAAATAATATTACATACATAAGTATAATAAATTTCCGATTCGATTATTTAACATGAAGACTATTCCGAGACATAATTACAATATTTTAATATCGAATCTATAGAATTACATGTTTTTATGCTTGCGCTATAATATTTGTAATACGCGTCAACTGCGGTATCTATATGCAGAGTGATTTTATTTTTATTTTTTATTTTATGAAGGTCTGATATATTTTACCCTTTATGGAATCGTTTGTTTTAGCATCTATTTCCAAAAATATATACTTATTAAATATAATATAATATGAGTATAGTTCCTTATATGAGTATACATTTTCGATTTTCTACGAAGTTGGTGTAAAATGTTATGAAAAATCTAAGTATTCGAAAATATCGGCTTCAACTATACATAAAAGTTCCAAAAACCAAAATTGGAATATATTATGCAAAATTAAACCAAAAAATGGAGTGAGCACACTTAGTGAATCATCCTATCTAATGTATATATACGATATAAACAGTAAATACCTATATACGTAAACGCAAAAAATACTAAAAAAATAAAACTCAAATCTCAATACTGTAAAGTAGCGATACAAATATTCGGAATATAATACATTATTGTCTACCTTACCTTAATTGATTTATGTGATAAATATTTGTATGGTATAATAGGTTGTCTGAAATTGATTAAAATTGGTAATATTATAAATTTTTACAAAAAAAAAAATAAAAATATAATGGTCAACAGTGGCGTAACCAGACAAAAATGAAAATAAACGAAAAAATACAATTGCAGAAAAACAGAATACTCTTTTATTTACACAACGAAAAAATAAAAATCGTTTTACACAATAGGCACCTAAATAATATATTTTCAGAATAAAAGTATCGCCTTTTACGTTATTTTCAATATAGGGGTTGTAAGAATTAATAATATTTGGCCCGAGGAATCTAACCGCGTGGATATATATGTACGACGTACGACATTTAGATGTACAGGGTGATTTTTTTTCATTCGACAATTTTCTTTAAGGGTATAAGTAAGTTTTATTTTAATCTGGTTTTTGTTTCTATCATAATGAAATTGCTTCATTTCAATACTATTTTCAAACGTGTATATTTATTATACTGCATAATTAGACCCGTTTAAATCATATATGAATTTAAACATGATATGGGATTAACATGGTAATAATATAGTCCCACATAGCTAAATAATATTAAACAAATAAATAAATATGTTTATTTATTATTGTAATTCATAATTTGTCGAACATGCCCGTAACCCTCAAGGGGGTTGTTACTGTCGGGTTAGAAAATGCTCATTATATAACCGCTGCACTGCTTTATACTGTTTATGCCTTATTTGAATATTAAATTTTGATTTTCAAATGGGAACCACTCATATTTCCAACACAGATTGGAAAATAGAATATTTTTCTAAGAATTTCGATAAACACGTTACACTATAATATTAGACAATCCGTTTATACGAGTTATAAGAGTGTACAATTTAGACCGGAAGACGAAACGAAGTTATAACGGAAGCCGAAGTCGTATGGAATACTGAAATTTGGATGAAAAATCAGTTTCACTCGTAATCTATGCGGATAATAATCGCCATGTACATAAATAATTTTTATAATATCTGGAAAAAAAAGGTTTTTTCTTTTTTTTTTTATTGTCTTAAAATATCGAACAATATAAAATATTATTATTTGTATACGTAGTGTACAAAATATTTAACTCGGTCATGAAATGTATTATTACGCTCTCGCGAAAACTGTACGAAATACATTACAGAAGGGATCTCATCGTTAAGACATGAACGTGGTTTATTGCGAACGATTACCTTCGTGGTTCGCAGTGAAATGAAATGGACGAGTTCAGCCATTGTTCTTTCCTTTGGCCCGCGAAACTCCCAAGTGTTTATAATATAACGAGTGCCACCTGCAGTGCCGTAAAAACCATTGAGTAACCACCGGAACATTTAGCCGGGAAACGTTATTTTTTGTTTTTTTTTTTTCTTAGATTTAAAATATCGTTGTTACACACCTATTTTGCATGCAACAAATTTTCGACCGAAAATCCTATCGCGTTCCATTTTTAGTTTAGTTAGTTTCAGTAGGTTAAGTTTTAAAATTGGTTATTATTTTAGTAAAATATTGACACATATTTTTTTTTTTTTTTTTTATTTCTACAAGGTTTTCATTTTTTTTACGTGCTCGTGACGCAAACGGGGAAATTTCCTAGAACCTCAACCGAAAATAGTTAGTTAATTTTCAAAAATTACGCACGTAATTCGTTTTGGCACCAAGTAATTCGTCGAAGTGTTCGGGAAGGGGCCTTTTTCGTAGGCGGATATTAGGGAGCTGTCTTTAAGACTGTATTTAAGCCACAGAAGGTCTTAGTCCTCCACAGTACTTCTTAATTAATTTGCTAAACACACGTATTCGTGAATTTTTTTTTTATCAATTTTTAAATTTTTTTTTATCAATTCATTAATCAAATTTTTTTATCAATTTTCAAAATCATTTTTTAAACGTATCTATTTGTTTATATCAACTTTAAATGATATCCAATAAACATAGATTGATTGTTGGTTAAACATACGCATATTAGGCGTCACAGCTAGAACGAAAGTGTTAACTGATAGGATAAAATTGACACAAGTGCCTTACAGATGTAACCAAATATACGTCGCGCTGAGTTATGACTGCGTTGGCCGTGGGCCGTCGTTCGGCGGGCGTGTAGTTCGTTCCGTGCGAAATCGTCTCACGGATCGGTAAACACACCTGCGATAATCACGCGGTTCGCGGCGTGGGGTGTTCGTACGGAAGGGACAGCCCGAGGCCGTTCAAAGAACAGCAAATACAATTGTTTTGTCGACGGCACTATCGCGACGGAAGCGGTGAGAATAAGCTAATCGATTCGCCGAAAATCGGTTCAATTAAACCATTGCGGCATCGTGCCGACGAAATTCTTACAAGATGTTATTAAAAAAGAAAAAAACCCAACGGAATTTTTTTTTTTTACTCCTCGCAATTAACAAGGGTCGGCCTTTTGCGTAATTATTGAGACTGGCAACCGCAAACCAGTACACGATATCGTGACACAAGGTCGTGTTAACTTAACGGAGAGAGACGATGGGTGATTATACGAATATGGTATACACAAACGCACCTGTGATGTTCCAGAGCTCGCCCAGACATTCGTTCTTGAGGCGGCCGATGCGGTCGCGCTGCTGGCGCTCGTGCCCGGCCTCCAGGAACCGAAACACGAACGCGCCGACGATCACGTAACCGGCCACCAGCCCAAACAGGCCTAGGTTGCTGAACAGGTGCGCGAAGAATTTGCGGACGCACCGGCGAAACCGCGGTTCGGCCGTGGCGTACGCCACGGGCGGCGGAAGCGGTGGCACCGGCGCCGGCATCGGTATGCGAACGCTGGCCGAGGACACCGACGCGGGCTCGTGAAGACACCGCTGCGGGCTGGCGTGGACGCCGCGGTGATCGTTCGCGGCGCGGCGAGCGGTTACGGCGTGCCCGAATACGTGCACACGCGGGGCCGAAAGAAAACGCGCGCGAAACTCGCGGGACGGTGGCGACCGGGACCGGAGACGGGAAACGAGCGTCTGCCGCACCGCACGACGGTCACGAGACTACGGCCGAAGAGACGCGCGACAAGTCGCTCGGCGGTCGCCCGTCAACGGTCGCGACGTCTCGCGGCGCACGCGCGCACCCGTTTCCGAATCGCGAGAGCGTTTTTTCCGACAGCACGGCGGCGGCGTTTGTTTTACCTGACCGACGGAATACGACGACCGATGGCGATTTATCGTATTTTTCTATAGATATTAACGGACGGGCCACCCTATTATACTCGTCCGTGACGGAAAAGAACTCTTGTTACCGCTACAGTTCTTATCGTTTGCCTTAAGTTTTTTTTTTTTCAATTGATGACGATTACTCCGTGTACATGTGACCGACCCACTTATTAAATCGTCGTTGACGATATGGAAATATTATCAGTTATCCGGTGACCGTGCACCACCACAGTGGCATTAAAAGTTCCCGTTGGTCGCAGAACGTTCCGAGAGGATCGAATTTTAGGGATGATCCATCCATTCCTCTATTACCTATCTACGTATTTCTCCCATTACTCCGGCCGCGAAACAATAGATAGGTAATAGGTGTTATTAACTCCGCGCCCGTCCGTGTTGTCATAGTTCTCCGCTAAGACCGTGGCAATGCCAATGTTAGCCGATAAGAAATACAGATACGATAACACAGACGGGGCGAAGGAATTTTTGAGCGAGCCGTGAGTGTAAAAAAAAAAAAAAAATCAGCGATTTATTAATTTTTAGCGATTACCGCCGACCGTCCGCCGCGGCGAGCGATCATAGTAACGAAATGCAACCGAACGGAAAACGATAACGCCCGCGGTCCACGTGCGTCACCCCGCGGCGTGATATTCAAAAACAATAAGACTGTTTTCGCGTAACGCGGCCCAGTCGCATATTAACATACTGCACGCGGCATAAAAGCCTACCCGACGTGATTTCGCATACCAGATTGGGATTTATTTTCGATTAAAAGTCCGACATGAACGAGCGAATGGGTGTAGCTGAAGTGTACCTGGCCGAAATGATTTCACGATTAAACTTAACGGCATTTAATATTCACAAAATTTAAATGTATTTTCATCATTTTCGATTAACTGTACACCAATCGTTGCGCAAAACCGATGAAATATTTTATTAACCGGAAAATTGTATTTGTCCGGCCGTTATAGGGAGGATTTGTTTTGAAATCTTCATGACATATTAATCGGAAAAAATCTCTCAATAGTTGGTAAAAAAATCGTGAGCAGCGATTTATTGAAGCGACCCGCGCAATATGCGGTTCAGCTTGAAGAAAAAAAAAAAGGTCGGGTAAAAAGTAGGTGCACCTATACCGAAAATATGCTACGAGCCTTCTCTTTTCTCTTTTCCTTCTTCCGGACACTAACGGATTATAAACAGAGATGCAAGTAGTCGTATAATATGTATGGACCGCAATAAAGATTATTGAAGATTGCCGATTCACTCGCATTTTTATACGCATTATATTGTATAATACTATGTGAAGGAAAAATCCCGAAACAATTCAACCACCACACGAGATATATACTTACGCACCATCCAAATTTTGCGTTTGCTTTCTATATACAAACCATCACGCCGAGTGTCCACGTGTGAACGCATGTTCAAATACTTTATTTTGTGGCGTGGAAGCCACATTAATACGTAATTCTTAATTAAAATCAAAATTTAACTAAATGTTAGGCTTTAATATTGTTTGAATCGCTTGTTACGGGTCGTTCGGACACAGCCTTTTGGTGGGAAGATGTACACGTGTGTTAGGTCTACAAATGGTTATTTATTAGAATTTGAACAAAACACAGTTGACAAGCTGTATCTGTAAGTGAAAAACCTGCGACACCAGACTCAGGTCAAGACTTAGTTGTAATTATCAGATATAAGTATACTAAAGAAATGACTGGACGGGTTGGTGTCGGACTGACGATGCTCCTCTTTCTCGTGCGTCGGTGGTGGTGTAGCTTTCTCGACTCCTGACTGAGTTCAAGTTCTTTGGTTATGATTCCGATCTCCTTGTATATGGTTGTCGCCACGATCGGGGCTTAGGTGACGGTGGACGCTGCCGCCGTTGTCTACTGGTGATACGTCGTCCGTACCCGGACACGTTTTCCTTTTGGTCCCACGAATACGTATCGTCCGTTGTTGCACGGGAACGTCATCGGTTTACCACGCCCGTATTAATACACAAAACGTGCGTGTATATTTAACGACGACCGATTTCATATCTTGTGGCGTGGAATTATTAATTTATAACTAACAGACTTTACACGTGAAGGACAGAGTCCACAACACGCTTATCGGTAACTAACACACAACATACATTAAATAGCTCTATAGAAACAAGCAGATTTTCCCGTTCGTGATGTTTTGTTTCGTTTATGTAAAAAAAAAAAAAAAATGGGCTCGGCAACCTAGCATTTAATTTTATGAAAAACCGCGATGTATTTTGACATTTTACGGTATTCCTGTGTGGTAATAATATAATATTATTTGATCGCAAGCGTGCTCACTGCTCAAACGTGTTGCCGTGGTAAAGATAAAAATGTGCCGAATCACGTTGCGGCCACTTTTTGCACGGTTCCGCCGAAACAATACAAGAATGCAATTCGATAGGCAATAGAATTACCCGCCTACGTTCTCACCGCTCCAACGATTGTTTTATTTGTTTACATTTTTATTAAATCGAAAAATAACCCCAAAATAATAATAGAGTTTGTAAAATGTCCTGGATTTCAATTCGTTACCGGAGTTATTATAGTACACGTCTGTTCCGAATTGCATTACCTACCGTAATAAACAAAAATAAAATACAATTACGAAAACTACCTCTGCGTACCCATTACCTACTACATAATAGTATAATAACGAAACAATAATATTTTCTCAACCCATTACTTCTTTGTAGCGAGTTCACTGGGTATAAGTACTCGTATTTCGGTCTAAATCTAATGTCTACGAGAAAATCGAATTGCGTATAAATTATGGATGCGATTTTGTGATTGTAGAAATCAAAAAAAAAAATCAAAAAACCGCGCTCGCGTTGAGACATTCGTGTATAGTTCGAGTGGCCGACCACGATGTGGCCAATGTCGTAACAAAACGGTTTTACTGCTCGGTATCCTGTCGCTTCAACCGCCGCATCGTCAGACGTCGGCGGGTACATAACAACGGACGTGGGACAAAACGCTTCAAATATTTGTCTAAACGTAAGAGATGCTGATTTTCAATTGCTACCATCGCAAGTTCGTAATCCTGCACGACCGGCCGGCCGACCGCCCCGCCGTCTTCCGGTGGACTTCGAAATCCAAGTCCGGGAGTGTCTAAGTCTCCGCAGTGCTTTTGCCCGTTGAGGAGTAACTTGTTATTAGGGATTAAAATGAATATTTGAGATTAATCATCGTTGAACAAATCAACTTGGTAAATGACGCCATTAACCGGTAAAAAAAAGACATTTTTTATTTAAAAGTGTTAAAAATTACGTCATTGACCGGGTTTTACCAATTATTGTCTTTCGCCGTATTATATTACATATTAAGTACCAATGCGCAATACAAGAATGTGCAAAGAAATGTGCAATTACAGAATTCAGAGATTGCTGAATTCTGGAGACACACATACGATACACTCCGAGTTATGAAATTTTCATAATTTAAAAAAACTTATTTTATGAATAACAAATATTACGTAACCGCATTTATTTTAATCGATAATTCCTCTGACTCAGTATATAAACAACTCAAATATTATTAAAAACTCTTAAAATATGATAACAATACTACGTCGAAAAATGGTGTTTAAAACAGATCTATTATATTATGCTTAGGGATAGAAAATATCGGGTTTATACGTATAGGTTTTACTAGGAAATAGTCTGTGATAAAATACTATGTATTTATTTCTAGTTTATAAATAATGTTTAATCAAAAATCATATTCCACTCATCAAGGGTAGTTTCTGGTAGTAAATTGTGTGCATTAAAGTTATTTTTTTTTCCATGGTATTTTCTTATAATAACTGGAAAAAATGAGATTTGTTTTGTGTTTTAATTCAGAAAGAAATAACTTTCTAAAAATTATCTAGATATACCTAGTATAGACGTGATACAATTTTTAAAACATCCTGGCAATTTTTAAATTATTTATGCATATATTTATAAGTCAATTTTTGGAGTTTTTTTAAAAATTTTATCTAATGTGCTTTTGTTTTATAATAATTGATTGGTCTAAAGCTCTGAAATGTCGCCTAAGTGTTACAGTGTACTAGTGTATGCATTTTAAAAATCGAATGCGTTTGTATGGTAGATTATACAGAATAAACCCTTCTTCCCCGGGGTCAGAAGTATAATAATTAAAATTATTCTTTATATTATCCTACAAGACTATCATTTTTTTTTTATTTGATCGGATCAAAAAACCTTTGAATTAAAGTACCCCCTTAAATACCGACCTGCAGCTAATACTGATCATATCGTCCGACAAAGTTTCAGGGTGGAACAAAATGACGAGTGTACAGTGTGTGCAGAATAACTAAGTGTTAACAGAAAAACGCTGTCCTAGAATAATGACGACGGGTGCAGCAACTGTTATAGGTAATTTAATGTACACGTGTTAGTAATAATAAACCATTGCTAACAAAAAACGATTCTGAGCAGAAATCAATTGACAGTGATGCTTTGTCAACAATATATTTGTCATATTATAGAAAAATAGTTGAATAGGCACTTTATATTTTCTTTAATAATATTTTCCCGTTTTTCCTACGTTTTTCCCATTTGTTGAGAAAGACCACGGGTAAAT